ATGAAAGTTCTTGTTATAGAAATGTCAATAAAACCACGGGGTTAAAATTCGCTATCGTGAGAAGAGTGGGTGGGTCATCCAATTTTAAAACAGGAGGTCTAGCTGTTTGATGTTTGGTATTGTCAATGCGGATAAAATAAAACAAAACATTGGGGAGAAGAATCCGCTTGCTTTAGGGGTGCAGCTAACCGAAGTTCTCATAGTAAAAACTATATAGCTGGATCGATAAAGGGTGAGGGGAGGGGGGTGAGGGGAGGGGGAGGTTGCACGGGCACTTAAAGGAATTAAAATCAAGCAGTAGTAAGAAGTTTTAATACCTCAGGTGCCTGTGGGTTGGGACAGGTTATCTATATGGCTTAAGCGATGATTGTCATAGTAAGTACAGGAGGACCGCACTACATTAAACAAAATTAGCATGACAAACCTGCGGACAAGACACACCAACTACGCAGTCATTGCAAGCAATACACATCATCAGATCAAACGAGTGGGTGAAAGCGTTGGGAGGGGGGGGGGCAGCCCGAAGCGCCAACTGTAAATAATAATTCAAAACTGAACACCTTTATCAATGCTGTTGAATATTACAGAATTTGCAGAAAATTCTAGCACAATGCATTATGTATACTTTTTAAGAAAAAAATCGTCCGTGCCTACAAATCATTAAATAAACGGGTATATGCTTTATTTTTAGTAATTATAAATACACTAATGAATGGAAAGGAAACAATAGTTTTTTTCTAAAAGCCAACCCGTGAGAAGTTGAATAGGCTAAGCTATTGTTATTTGATGTTAATGAAAAACAGCTCATTATGGTTGCTATGATTAAAACATTCTCGGTCATTGTGCTTCAGTATTTTTAGGGTATAAAATCTGATATTAAAATACTTGAGGGCTGGGACTAGTTATTTTAATCTCACAATTTTCATTTAAGGCACGTTTTAGTAACAATTAAGTGCAGAAAATACATAATATCCTTTTTATAAAATAACTGTATTTTTGTCATAGTCTACACGTGGATGTTCGTAATAATGCATGAACAAGGAACTAAATCCCCATATTATTTTGTAGTTCTACATACATGTAATTATTGTGTACGTATAACAGACACAATAACAAATATTTCAATTTTGCTTTTGAATAAATTTCATTTGCACGAGACCTTGACACATAAGTTTGTCTTTAGTTAATTGCTTATCTTAACAACCAAATTGTAAACAACTCTGATTTGTCATAATAAAAAAGTTTCTAAAACATATTTTCATAGATTGTTAAAATTTTTCTTTTCGGCACCAATTAACTTTACGCTATTGTTTTGCAATCTGTGAGCCTGTGAGCAATTCGCTTTTATATGAATGTGTAATCACACTAATTTCAAACGTTGATTTGGGTTTCATATTAAATAATATTATATATGTTGGCCTTGTTTATGGAAGTAGGATAATTAATAATTCGGATAAAAGACTAACAAGGATACAGGTAGTATTATTACAGATTTAACACACCGGGAATTTGTTTTAAAAAAAAAGAAAATCATAAAAAAAAGCAACTGGAGACCAATTAAAATATGGTTACATAATATACATATGAGAAAAAGGCTGTAAATTAAATAGGCAATATAAGGTAAAGGTAATCATATACTGACTCGTGTACGACACTGCTCGACGGATGCATGGAAAAAGAAATTTTTCTTTTTTTAAATTCTGTCCACTTATATAATAACAAAACCACGACGCTATATTAATCACTGACCTTTGTGTAAATTGGTAATGTAATCATGGTATTTAATTGGTCAGAGTTTGCCCTATTTAGATTTTTGATATATCTAGATAACAGTGTGGTCAGTCAATAGTTTAAGTATATAGGGCGCATTACGTATGGTATAGACCCCTTCTAATTCCCTTGAGAATAGAAATAAATGTTCCCTCAGTCGGAAATACAGTTTTAGGTAAGTGTCGTATTATTTTTATAAATATATATTACTTCGCATATCTCCATATTATGTGATGCTGAAAAACGATCACATCATGAGATTGACCTGTTAATAGATTTATATTAATAGGTCTATTATGAGAATCATGGTCACGGGACGTGGTAAAATTATAAACAGAACGGCCGTGGGTGCTTCGGTTCAGTAGCGTTCATACAGTGACACCATTTCTTTTAAAACATTAAATCTTGGAAGAAGTGTAAAAAACATGTTGTGTTTAGTATGTATTCTGGCATAAGTGTTAATTTGGACAGGTATGTAAACAACGCGAATTTTTGACAGTTATATAAACAAAGCGAAACTAGTAAGCACGACGAGTGATTGGTTGACTTTTCCAGTGACCTTGACTTTTGTGTTCAGCATGGTGGAGATTATGATGAACATCAGAAATTGTGGAACGGAGAAAACCTTTAGAATATTTACCGTTCACGTTGAAAATGGTGAGCTATGATTTACCTAATCTGGTAATAGATGTTTCAAATTTTCGATTGCCGGTATTTTGATCAAGATCCATATTATACTGTGGTTAAAATTATCGAAAATATGTTGATCGAATTTTCAGGCTGTAGTTGTAGCCTATATTCAATATTGTATTTCATGAAATCATGCATTGTATAATGTTAAGGCGTTTTCAATGGCAATGGTATCAAACAAAGTATGGGTTTTACTTATTTTGATCAGAGGTATTATTGACTTCTATTGTACTAATTGGATCAATAATAAAAAGCTCAACACCCAAAATACATCGTGTTATCAGGCCATGACCGCATATTTTACGAACCCTGGAGGACACCTAGACGACCATGTATGATGTAGGCCTACCCAATGCCGAATGCGATCATCATAAGTCTGATAAGACCTATTGTTGATTTACTGATAATGATTAAATCTGCCTAAACTTGCCAATTCACCCTGAAACGTGTGTAATGGGAGGGGGAATTTTGCACGGACAACATCAATGTTCTACCTACTTTTCTTGGGTCTTTTTTTGCACTGCCCCTTATAGGCTATTCGGTAACAATTTACAAGTTTAAACAAGGCTACAGGGCCAAGTACACCCAATATTTTTCTTGTCTTTAAAGATACATTATAGGAGATTCGATAACGAATTGGCAGTTCTCAATATAATAGTTAAAAACTAGATAATGTAAAGGCAATTTGCTGAAAATTTCAGTCAAATTGATCCAACCGAGAAATAAACAATCAAAAGTTCCGCATAGCCTCGGTCATCATTACTAAAGTCGGTACAACAAAAATCATAGTATTGATTTTCCATTTAATCGTTAATCGAGAAGGAAAGTTACGCAGCAAATAGGATCTTAATCCAACAATTATCGCAGGCAAGCGTTGACATCGAGTGTTGATTATGGTCTGGATATGTTAATTAATGTCTAATTAATAGTTTATATAACATTTCATGCCTAAAGAAAGACCTACAATAGGCAGATTTAGCTCTTGCATAACGTACATGTATGTTTAAATCTTTGAGATTTTATACCAATCTATTCACACTGCGACAATTACTGATAAGGATGACATCGATGCGACTTAATGAGTCACAAAATATTAACTTTTTTCCTCCGACAAATTAAATTCTAAAAAAATTTTTTTATGTATTAGAAAAATAAATAAAGACGTTTGACGTATTTGTAGGTAAAAATTATTTCCTATTTAGTGTAAATGGGTATTAAAATGAGTAAAAGACTCCATTCCGCCCGAACTAGTAATGTCTTATGTAAACAATGCATGCACTATTGAGCCAATGATTGACGTCGCGTGATGCGACGTCACGTGTTGAAGGTAGTCATCTTTTACAGATTGCAATCTATTCTGATGAATTGTATAGGCTAATAATTCTTTGAGGCTGGCAAATCAATTTCAGTACAGTAACAGTGACAGCTTGAAAGTTAGTTTGATAACAATTTGCTGAAAATGATACCGTATCAAAAGAAGGGATGAATAAGCTTATTTTAAAATGTGACAAGATAATATTATCTCGTACATGTACATGTAGGCTATACAATTTCACATTGTTATAGAATTTTCTTAATGCACTACAAATTTCATACCATTTCTGTGAAACCTAGCTCCAAGCAGGGCTCCAAGTCTTCTATTATTGTACCGGTAAGGAAAAATGTACCAGTAGGGCCTACCTGATCATGACTAGCTGTACTTTTAAGTACAGGTGGTCAGGTACTGGTAAATTAAGATAATTAGTATTACCAGGTAAATTGGACACTCATTATCAAAATTAATCAATCAGCTTTAAACTGGACACAAGTACAAATTAGATGATTTTGGGTGGTTTTAAATGATTTGTACGAATTTTTAAACAAGGATTTGGTATGTCGAATGTGAAAGAAATTAGTGCTAAATACACAAGATTAAATAATACATTGGGTACAGTATATATTTTGATATGTCCAATGTTCGAAATAGCCTAATAATAAATGCCTGGTTGTAATGTTGAAAAAGATGCAATTTGTCGTGACATCAATCACTTCCAAATATTCGTGTTATAAATGACTTATGGCATGTGATCAAGCAACATTAAATTTCTATACTGTTTAATATACAGTATAAAATTGTTTGGTGCTAAATTACAAGGGGTATTTGCTGCAATACTGGCTAGTAAGAGTAAGCCTCAACATTAGAGAGTAATTTGTTCGTGTACAAGGTTGTTTTCATGACCATGCTGTGTAGTTACATGACATGTATGTTAGGCCTTTCCAGAGGGTAATGTGTTTTGATGTACATGCTGTGATAGACCTTTTAAAAGTGTCTTATTTACTGATATATTACTGAAAATGTCAAATGAAATGTTTTTGTGGGTGGTTGCTTCATATAAATCTTGAACGATTTTAATGATAGCTTGTTTCAAATATGTTAAAAGTTAGGGATAGTTGAGTTTACATTATAACAGTTTTTAGCGAATTCACTTTTCTTAGCCAGCTATCTTATTTGAAGAATTACTGAAAAAGTAAATATTAATTATTCAAATTTTCTTTTCCAGCATAGACAAATAGATCGAAAGAAATATTGAAAATTAGCAGACTTGAAATCTGAAGATAGATGTAAATAAACGGCAGAAAATCAACATAAAGAAACAAGACCAAAACAAATAAACAAACAAGATGTTGATGCCAAACCATTCAAGTAACAGTTCCAGCGTTACACCAAATGTCAACTTTGATAATCTTTATCCAGCCATTCTGCAATGTTTTGTTATTATATTATTTGGCTATGTGGCTGGACGAACAGGGATAATATCCATTACTCAAGGAAAGGGAATTGGAACCTTTGTCTCAAAATTCTGTTTACCAGCGCTGCTATTCCAGAGCATGTGCGAACTTAAGTTTTCTCAAGTGAACTGGATATTTCTGGGCAGTATTTTGATTGCTAAAACTGGTGTGTTCTTTGCGGTCTTCTGTGCCACCATTGTCGTCAAGCGACCTTTGAACCTTGGTTGTGCCGGGCTGTATGCAATATTCTGTACACAAAGCAATGATTTTGCTCTGGGTTACCCTATTTGTAAGTATTATAAATTTGCACTCTTTGGGTATTTCGCATTGTCACCCATCTGTATCCATCTCTAGGTGCCAAAGAATAGCAATTTGGCTCCTTTAAGCCACATCAAGTAGCTATGAAGTCTTTCAAAGTTCAAGTGCATAATTAGGGTCCCAGTTATGTACGCCTACATTTGAATGGTGAGCGCTGCCAGATTTTGGAGAACTGTCAATTGTCTTTGAAAATAACAATATAAACTTAAAGGAATAAGCATGATAATTTTCAAACAGAATTTCATTTGAGCTTTAATACTATCAATAGTATTTTGAAAAGTAGGATATTTTTTTTCATTTGTAAGATATAAAATAGTTTTAAAAAAGATTAAGTTTAACTATTTTCAATGAATCTGATTTAGTTTGGACAATCTCCTCACAGTATTTCGTTTGATAGACCTAATGTCATTCAACACTGCTGTAAGGAAAGCAAATTTCCGATCCAAATTATGACTGGTCAAAAGTCTGATTAACAAACAGTACCTAATTGCATAACAATATCATTCCGGTTTAATCCGAGCTCCAGATATAACGTTCCGTCATGACTCACAAAATTTATTACGCCCAATTAACCATCGCATAGCAGAAAAACTAATCGCGTGACAAACGAGGCTATCCAAACAGCTACAATGTAAATAATACTGCTTGGAGCCGAACAATACTTTGGCCGTTTTTAATACCTTAAATCACTGTCCAAAGTTTTAGGGAAGATCCCAGATTAAACGAAGGGCTGTCATTTTGCTGTACTTAGGAGAGATTTGACACACCTCCCCCAAAAGCTCAAGTATCAGAAGTCAATCCAGCAATGGCCAAACTTAAAGCAATGCTACTTGTATTATAGAATTATATAAGTATTTATTGATCTGCACGTCAATTAACTATTGGTTGTTGATTACAGGATAAAGTAAACATTAATTAAATAATTCTACATATAATCAATATATTTTACATGTATTATTATATGTGTATATATGAGTTAATAATTTAGTAGGTTGAAGTATATTAATACTGTTTTAATATTTATTTATTTGACAAGACATTGATTATTTTATGATGGAGGCAGATGTTCACTGAAAGACGTTATCTCCATTTATATATAATAAATGTTTGGTTATCAATAAGTAATGGTTGGATAAACATTCTGTATGTACATGTATGTAGTAGTATACTGTATATAACCTTATAGTTTGAACTTCAAAAAAATAAATAACTATTAAAATAAATATCAATTTTATTAATATTAGGTTAGGTAATTTATGAGTTTGAAGAGACATTTGTTTTGTGATATTCAAATTAATAATAAGCTTTATGAATACACATAGGTCTGTAAAAGCTAAATAAATATCAAATTAGGTAATACAAATAGATTACTTTTTTGTGAAGATGAAATTAATTACAACAATGTGATTTTATATAATTAATACCAGCATGATATTGTGCAGGCATCTGGATCAAACGTCTAGGTTTACATACAATAAGGGTATTAACTTTAGGTGTACCAGAGATATATTTTTATAAACTACACTAGATGAACCAGTATAGAGTAATATACACTAATTGACCAGAATAATTAATATTGTGATATTATGTAATATCGCAGGCCTGGCTTACACTGTGTTACTTCACCAAGGCTGATGTTTGATTCCAACTACTATCCACATTAATACACCCACATTTGACATGACCTATCTTGCATGCATATGTTGTTTTATAATTATATGACAGCAATATAGATAGACATCTAGAAATATGACTAGCATGACACATTTGTAAAACTAGTAGGCAACAGCTAATCTGTGACTGGCATTTAGTGATTGAGCACAATAACAAAGAGAGAGAGAGAGAAATGGGGTTTAACGTCCACTCGACACAAACTAGGTCATTTCGGGACTAACATATGGTTTTTAATTTTATTTCAATAATTCGCTTGCGCATAGGGGTCTTTAGCAGTAGGAGGAAACCGGAGGACCCAGAGAAAGCCCACGAGGTTGGACAGGCGACCCTACTCCTTGTCACGTACAACCTGGGATTCGAAACCGTGCCAGTCGACTCAATGACAGACTTTGTGATACAGCGCGCGCACGCTAACCATTCAGCTATCCACCCACCCACCCCCCCACACACACAATAACAAAACACAATACATGTATTTGTTAATATGATTCATGTCATATAATAGAGTAGAATATAATGTCTTGTGTCACTGAACAGTTTCAGTTTCAGGCACTGTTTATTTGATTATGCCAAATAGGTTAATACATAGCGTACATGTATGATTTGGTTAAAACTAATACCAGATGTACATGGAAATTTGAAATAAATTCACTTTAAATGCAGTCTTACATGCACAACATTAATATCATTGAAATTTCACTGAAATTTGTCAGTGTCTGGTGTCACATACGTGGCAGGGTACCACTTTTGATTATTTAATTGCTCATAGTGGATAAATTCCATCATTGGACTTTGTATTTTCACAACAGGTTAGAAATAAATACATACAAATTGTAATTATTATTTATTTCAGTACAAGCTCTGTATAATGACAGCCATCCTGAATACCTACAGTATATCTATCTTATAGCACCTATATCACTTGTGTTCTTAAATCCTATAGGATTCGTCTTTATGGAACTACACAAGAATAAACAACATCATAAACATTCCACAGGAGTGGTCTTTCTACATGTGTTCAAAGGAATTGTATCAAACCCTATTGTGTTTATGACAGCTATCGGTATTGCTGGAAATTTTATTTTTAAACAAACGGTTCCAAATGTTATTGGTGATATTTTAAAAGTTTTAGGTGAGACATTTGTTAAGTTTTTCATTTTTATTTGGTTTGAAAAAAAATGCTATTTTAGCTCAATCAACCATTCAGACTCTGGAAGCTGAGCATTTATTATTAACAGATTTTTGCTGCTTGCATCATCTGGGCTGTGTTTCCTTTACCGATTTACTAGAGCTTATAAAGTCTCTCATTGAAGGACATGCAAACTCCAGTGAAACTATATGTGGCTTGAAGAAATTTGGTTACTCGGCTCAAATGGCATAATATGCATAATTTTCGAAAGACGAGAGTCCTCAAATTTAATAAAATAAACCTTCCAGGTAAATTGATATTTGATAATTGACACAGTTGGCAAATACAATTTTTGGAGTTTAACATCTTCAAAACAGCATTACATTATGTTGTTTGATTAATTGGGTGTTTTTGTGGAGAAATAGTCCATAGAATATATTATTTGATAAAATGTTTATACATGAATTATCTCTTTCTAGGTAATGCCTTCAGTGCCACCGCTTTATTTTATTTGGGTTTAAATTTAGTGGGCAAGTTGAAAGGCCAACTTGGTATAGGTCTGGTTGTTCCTATTCTACTTATAGCCTCTAAATCGTAAGTACTCATCATATCCTTCATAGGAAACCATTTAATTGTTTCATACTTTAGGTCACACCTTTTTGAATGTTTGGTCTTTCAGAAAACTTTTTTTTTTCTTACACTTTTTCTCTTCTCAAATCTTTTAGTTCCATATTTTTTTTAATTTAACAAAACAAGTTGTTTATTGGACTCAAAGTCAAATTGTTATTTATTTAGCTAGTTACTCTAGTAACGAAAATATGAGAGTCCTAGTAACTGGCTAGGACTCTCATATTTTCGTTACTAAAGTAACTATTATTTAGCAAGACCCCAGAATAACTATAAAATAATTTAGTTTGGCCTTAGACTTTGTCGTCCTGTGTTGTACAATCATGAGATAATGACATGACTACAGAAAACTATAGCATACATGTACATATAGTCATTTTGTATTTTGACTTTTGACACAAAAATCATAATAAGCTTTTAGATCCATCAGAGTTTAATTCAAGCTACATGTACATGAATTGAAATACACTGCACATATGGATTACATTTTGGGCATGTACATTTAAAGTTGATCATTTGGATTATCAAGACAATAACTTAGTCCAAAATTCCTTAGAAATTATTCTTTTGTAACAGACTGAAATTTTAAGAGAGAAAAAAATGAGGTTACAATATCAATAGCAAATACTGGTAATGGGAACTTTTGATGGCTATAACTTACATTAAGATGTTTTAATAACATTGTTGGACCAATTTTTGATATGGATTGATTGAAACCCGATATTTGCCTTTAGCCTGGAATATTGTGTATGTGAATTCTTGCAAAAATGTACCTTGCAGGAGTTTTTATGGCACCAGGTATATTCAAATCTTATTATTCCTTTTATTGCAGAATATTACTGCCGCAAAGATGTACCTTGCAGGAGTTTTTATGGCACCAGGTTAATTCAAATCTATTATTCTTTTTATTTCAGAATATTACTGCCGTTATTTACTTGGGAAGTTATAGGCTGGTTAGAAACAGGTCAATCATTCAATCAAAGTGAATCTTTGGGAATGTATGGATTTTTATATGGTACTTTCCCTTCTGCACCTTCTGTATTTTTATATGCCAGTCAATATGGCATTGCTCAGGACACAGTAAGTATCAGAGTATACATGTACATACAAAAGAACAACCAGAATTTGATACATATGTAACTTTCATCAGGTGTTCCATAACTAGAAGCATTCTCTACACCATGCATGAAACTTGTCACTAACAATTATATTTTTAAGGCTTTATAAAATTAATTTGCTAAATACAGATTTTCGACAAATATAGAGACAACCAAAGAAATGATTTGAAATAAATTAAGTGTAGAACATATTATATTCTTTAGTAATTATTCAATATCAAATATACTACAGATAATGCTTGGTTTCTTTAAACATATCTTATGATTACCGTACTTTATTTAATGGAAAAATACAATTTTCAAATGCAAACATTTGTCACGATTAATGTCTAGATCCCACCCTATAAAACAACAATTATATAACAATTTTATAGAAAAAATAAAAATATCTTCAAGAAAGAAATAAAGAAAATACATTGTTTTGCAATTTATGAATTAGTCATGATAAACTTCATTTATACAGATAAGTCATGTAAGACTGACAGAACAAATAATGCATGATGAGTACAGTCCACAATGTCCTATTAAATGTGCCAAGTTGTGAACTCAGAATCCCAAGTCTCTACAGAGAAGACCTATCAAAATATCTTTTGTTTCCATGTAAATGTACGTTTCAGTTCCAAAACAATAAATATGAGTAGGAGCTACATTGTATATTTACGTTACAGAAAAGTTGTAATTAATATCTTAATGTATTCAGTTTTACATGTAGGCTTTTTAATCTCATGATATGTCTGGTTCATTTTGATGTTGTTGAAAACAAATATACAAAACAAACTATGATTCATAATTTGCAAATTGTTTAGGTTGATTTTACCTACAGAATCACACTGTGCAGTTAAATGTAGACCTAACCTTGAAAAAATTAAAGAGTTATTTCCTCAACTTTTTTTTATAGGAACAAGAAATGTTATTAGACCCCCCACTTTGATAATAATTAAAAATTTGAATATGGATTTTTATCGGTACACATTAAAGAGATATTGAATTATACTTAATTCAAGTACATGTACAACCACTCCAAAGGATCGGTACACTTTAAACAGATATTCAATCGTATTTGATTAAAGTACATGTATAACAAATCTGAAATGATCTGTATTTGCTAGATGACATGTTTTCACTCTAGTTATAACGATATCCTCATAAAAATAATTAGACTAACATTTTATTCTTGAAGTTACACAGTTGTCCACATTTTTTAATAAAAAAAACCCATGTTAGTTGCAAAATTGTAAGTTAAACCGTGGTCCGCTGTATTAGGACAATAACATGTTAGTCTCAAAATAAGTTACTTTGTAACCACATGTTAAGAAAACAAATATTACCATGTTAGTCTCAATTTGCTAAGTTACACTGTGGTCTTCCATATAAAAGGAAATAACATGTTACTCTCAAAGTTAGTAGTCCAGATTAGTTACACTGTGGTTACACTGTAGTAAATAACATACTATTCTCCAAATGACAAGTTACTTTGTGTTGTAAACATTAAGATAAAATTACCATCTAATCTTGGTCTCAAAATGGTAAGTTATACTGTGGGGTTACATTGTCTGGCAACCTATCTTTATATTTCAGATTGCTACAAGTATGGTTGCAGGAACGTTTATATCAGCTCCACTGATGTTTGTTTCTGCTAAAATGATGACAGTAGTTGTATCAAGTGAATTAGATTATAAATCTCTGTTATTAGATACATCATTTGATACTAGTATACTGGGTATTATCTGTTGTGTAAGTATAATCTCTATTAACATATACATCGATTGATACTAATTGGGTATTATATGTTTTGTGAACTCAGGGGCCCCGGGGATTACATGCATCATTTGATAGTGGTATGCTGGGGATTACATACATCATTTGATAGTGGTATACTGGGGATTACATACATCATTTGATAGTAGTATGCTGGGGATTACATACATAATTTGATAGTAGTATGCTGGGGATTACATACATAATTTGATAGTGGTATATGGGGGATTACATACATTATTTGATAGTAGTAGTTATACTGTGTATTAAATACATCATTTGATAGTGGTATACTGGAGATTACATTCATCATTTGATAGTAGTATACTGTGTATTAAATACATTATTTGATTGTATTATACTGGGTACTGAGTCTGATTTCCACTTAGATACTAGAGATAGTGGTATACTGGGGATTACATTTTTTATATCATTTGATAGTGTTATAGTGGGAATTACATACATTATTTGATAGTGTGGTATTCTGGAGATTACATACATCATTTGATAGGGGTATACTTGGGATTACATACACCATTTCATAGTGGTATACTGGGGATTACATTTGATAGTAGAATACTGTGTATTTTATCTACATCATTTGATAGTAGAATACTGTGTATTAGATACAGTATTTGATGGTAGTATACTGAATACCGAGTCTGATTTCTACCTAGATTGTCTGGTGTCCATTCTGGTTTCCTCCCACTGCTAAAGACTCCAGTTTGCGCAGGAATTTCTTATTAGATATTGCTATATTTTGGTGTGTATATTTTGTAGTTGTGGGTATTAGGTGTACTGGTAGCAAGTGGTAGATGGAAAGGTATACCACATCGATTTTTATTATGTCTGGTTATTTCACAGGTTAGTTTTTATAAATTTTAAATAACAGTTAATTTATATTAAACATTTATTATATTTATATCAGTTTCCTTATTATAACTACAAGGTAAATAACCTTCCTTTTTATTATTACATGAATAAATTAGTCTTTACAGCGTGATATTTTTAATTGAATGTGTTGTTAACTTTTTATATAAATTTTTCAATAATGTAAAGTATTATTTTTATTCATTTCTTTAATCAGGTGTATTAATTATTGTTTATTTATATCCATGTTAAATATAACCTATCAATTTTAAATGCATTGTATATAGTTGTGATTGACATTAAACCTCATCTCTCTCTCTCTCTCTCTCTCTCTCTCTCTCTCTGAATATATAGATTTAACTCAATGACCATTGAATACCACTCAGGTTATTCAATCGTTCAAGAAAGTGTATCCCTGCGCAAGTATTCCAAGAGGGATAGCGAGTGAAATGTGACAAGGATACACTCGAGTGTATTCGATGGTCATGGAGTTCTGTTTTTATTCTATAACTTCATGTAAATCTCAAAATACACTATACTATCCAGATCATCAAAAAAAAAATCACCAATAAAGTTAGAATTCATTATAGGTTCCACCCTTTTTTTCTTTCTTTTTTACAAAAATTGTGGTTGCTAGTGGTGACCTCATTACAGTTTGATGTAATTGTGAAAGTGATGTCATTCTGGAGTGCTGGACAATAGTAGTACATGTCCAAGCCATTGAATACAACCATAGGTTATTCAATGGCTGTATTCAATGATATTTGCTTGTATTTGCATGTAATTATAGAATAAATGATATTATTGCTATTGCTATATAGTGAGAGCATAAATGAGGCATGAAAATTTGAAATTATCCTGATTTGCTGCAGTGACTTCAGAAATTTATCATAAAATTATTTCATTCAGCTGTTGAATTAATATTAACCAGGAGACCACAAATCAGAAATTATAATTGGACATTAGCAAATGGCTTTATTGATATAATTAGTAAAGATAATATAATAAAATAAAATCAGCAGTATATTTATTTCTTTATTAGTAGTAGTACAATAAATCCTACCGTACATGAAATAACACCCTAGCCGTATGCCACCATTTTGGTTTAGCCAAAGTAAGATGGTGTACATTTTGATAGTTTGACTAAAGTAAAATGTAAGAATAAATATTGTAGATAAGGTGGTCATACATGCAATGTGTTCATGGCTCATAATAGTTGAATATATACTAGATATAGACTGCTAAGAGGTTATGAGAGGTCTATATCAGACATACAATTGAAGGGAGAATTAAGGCTGACCTTAAAAATATCTTTGTTTCGCCAAACCCGACCCACAATCGAGGAGAAGGGTCGGTAGGTCGGGTTTTTGACAGCTTGATAATTTTCTGGGGGGGAAACATTCGTCTTTTTTTATTGTCAAACAAATCAATGAGTATGACATCGGGATTTTTCGTGATGCACGACTCCGAGACTCGCACACGATTTGCCACGAACTCTAAGTGTGAAACCCCTTCAACACGTTTTTAACGATCGTGCGGGTTGTGCCTTCATTTTTCTCGAAAACGGATATTGAAAATATCTTCGTCATGTTTAAAACGACGCCCCACAGACATAGAGGCAGAATCATTTCGTGGGAATAGACGTGCTTTCGTCTTGATCAACCAGTTTCAATAATGAATCAAACTATAGCCATAGTAAAGGGAAATAACTCTCGTGATATATTTCAGGTTGACACACAAAATAAAATAAAAAGATCGCGGAAAAGTGCAATAAAATAATTTAAGTCGGGGGTGGTTTTAGTTAGTCGGTCGCGTTAGGCGAAACAAAGATATTTTTAAGGTCAGCCTAATAGCACAAAACTATTGCCTTCAATATGGATTGTGTTGTTAACAAAATATGTAGGTGCATATTACTTTTGGATATTTTAAACAGAACAATCAGATCATCTTCACAAATTGCTTAAAGAACATCTTTACTGGGGTGTGTCTTTATTACAGGGTTTATGTCACATATTTGCTTGACAGCTAAGAGTTAACTGATTCTGTAATAGGACAGCATACTAAACAATCTGAGCCTACATGTAGCAGTAATAAATTGTTTTATTGTGTATTTATTATTTTTCTTGCATGAGATATTGAATTATGCATGGAGGTAATATCACACCATGGTTTTCTATTTTATGTTACAGCTAGCAGCCTGTCTAGGAATGGTTATATACAGCAAATCTAGCTCACAAATGCTCTGGCAAAATTATGTTCAGTTTATTGTTCTGCTGTTTGGGGTATTTGGATCAAGATGTTGGACATCTATGATAGCTGTAGCACTGTGTATGCTCCACACCAGAAGTTTATGTTACGTTCTTAAAAATCAAGTATGGATGTTTTTTTATGGTTTTGGGTAAGTGTATTAAACAGATTCAAACATACAACATGGTTTCAGTCTGTATCATTTCATCCATATTATTTTTATATGGCCACATATAGTATTACATTACAACATTGACTAAGTTAGTGAATGGGAGTAAGTTGATGACTCGCTAACATTAAGGTCCTGTGTTTGATCCCAGTATTGGCAGCCAATAGTTTGTCAGGATTTTAAAGTTGTCAGTGGTGTAAGATGAAGGGTCTGGCAAGAGACAATGTATAGTCATTCAGATGGGATAAAAACCTCGATCCTGTGTACGATTGGTATAGGGGGGTTGGATGGCTGAATGGTTAGCGTGCGCGCGCTGTATCATAAAGTCTGTCATTAAGTCGACTGGCGTGGTTTCGAATCCCCGGTTGTACGTGGCAAGGAGTAGGGTCGCCTGTCCAACCTCGTGGGTTTTCTCCGGGTCCTCCGGTTTCCTCCCACTGCTAAAGACCCCTACGCGCAAGCGAATTATGTAAATAAAATTAAACCATATGTTAGTCCCGAAATGACCTAGTTTGTGTCGAGTGGACATTAAACCCCATTTCTCTCTCTCTCTTTCACACAATTGGTGTATATGCAAAAAAAAACTATGCCTGTCTTCATTAGTCCATTTTCTGCTTAGGTTAAAGGAGCTAAATCGCTAATATTTGGGACCTAGAAATTGACCCAAATGGGTCGAAACGCATATAATAATGTAATCTGATTGTATATAAACTGATTTACATTCAATTGTTTCCTTTTTGACTCTAATTTCAAATCAGTTATGTCCAGCGAAAAACAGCATGTGTCTCAACCCTATAGCAATTTTTAGCATCTGGTTATTCCAGTCTATTAAGCAGGCTCTCCAGTTGAATAATAACATGTCTAGCCTAGTTCTTTCTGGTCACTTGTTGCAAATGACACTAAAACGCACTAGGGTACACAATTCGTGTACCAATGGTAAAATGTTTATTTTGCTTTAATATTGGATATCAGAAGCCTGCCTTTTCCTGGTAAGATCAAAACATCAATGTTGATTTGAATTGACAAATAATTCGTATTTTCAACGTGTAAGACTTTGGATGATATTGACTTAGAGACTTAGCTACTTTAAGTACAGTGATAAGTGGTAATCAAAATTAAGATTGATATTGCTAAAAATGCCAAAACTTTTTACCTTATGAGAAAACAGAAATATAAAATATATGAACAATTATATACTTCAGGTTACCAGTGTTTTTAACAGGTTTCTTGTTTTTGATTGGTCGAAACAATCTGAGTACTGAGATAGATCCTTCATTTCACTATGGTTACCATCAGGTAAACAACTCTTCACATTCTTCAACTTTATAAACTTCACTCTAATAATAGCATATCATGTCTGAGAAAATTTGGTTATGATTAGTCAAAAAGAAAACAATCTGCAGTACTACTCTGTCTTACATTAAATATAAACACTAGCCATGTTTAGAATTTTTTATTTGTCGTTCCCCATCATTCGTAGAAATGGGTTTGTCAGTTGGCCTGTCCTTCCATCCGTCAGTCACTCATTTTTGGAATACAAAAACTCTGCTTCCAATTGATGTAAAATTGTTCAAATTTGGTGTAGATGTTCATAGAGTGAATGTCTTGACTGAAATGAGTTACTAGTTTATTGTGCTTAGGCTAAAAAGATGTCCGCCTATCTGTCAGATCTTTAAAATGCTGTAACTCTGAATCAAAATGTTCCCATTTGGTGAATGTTTGGAAAGAGAGCAACGATGAGTATTTTCTGCTTACAGCTAAGCAGGGATACACAGTTTGATTTGGCGATACTTTGAAATGCGATAATTTGGAATCAAATTGAATGATAGTGGTGAAACTTAGTGTATAGTTTCATTATATCTATACCTTGAATAAATATGATTAGGAGCATTTTCTACTCAGACTAGGCAGAGCACCAGAGTGATACACAATTTAATTTGTTGATACTTTGGAACACGATAATTTGTATCCAAATTGAATAAAGTGGTGAAACTCTGTATATAGTTTCATTACATTTTAGATTGATTGACAAACATTATTGTATCATAATTATTATGCAAAGATTTTTTTACAGAAATGGAAATATGTAGGTGATATTATCACATGCTATAAGTTTATTAGAGGCATTTGGTTTATGTCTGCGGATGATTGACGCACATCTAAATTTGAATGTAGCACATTTATTTTTATTTCACCCCTGTTCTCTATCTATTATTAAATTGATTCTTGCTTTAAAGGTCAAGTTTTGATACATTTTCTCCAGCTTTCTTTATAGAGTGAGGCTTCACTAGAAAGTGAGACATGTAAATTATCGGTAGAAAATTGAATATTTGTGAAAAAAAAATTTTTCGAACCAAAATCAGATTTTCATATAGGGCTGGCATTTGTTTGTGATGTTTCAAAAATTCTAGAACAATCTCTACCTGCAATTCTCTAGACATGCCTGGTGTTATTAGAACATCAAAACATGATGTACATAACAAATAATATATATTAATTTTTCAGTTGCTTTTTTTCTTCTTTAGTTATATTGATTTAAAGATCAGCTTTTATACTGTAACTGCAGAATATCTTTCTCAATATCAATATGTGTTCCTGATATTTTTATTTTAGACCTATGACGATATAATGTTTTTTATAACGGTATGTTTAGAGTGTTCAACCCATGTTTTGAAAGCTTCACATATTATGTTATGTGCTAGAATGTGTGCTGATATATTATACATGATAATGGCTTCTTTTTTAAAGAGAAGACAAGCCAATGCACATTTTTGATATTTTATTCCATATCTAGTAATTTGAAGTCCTTAGAGCAAATTGTTGCACATTGCAATTAATAAATTAACTTTGTTGTATGATGTCATAACAAGAACTGTCAGTGACTGTAAGTAAACCAACCGGCTACTGTTTGTAAACATGTGGCTGTAGGTGATTTTGCAGTACGAAAGTCAGTGGATTGAAGACTATTAAGAGCATGAACTGCTTTTTGTTTATTTCTTTCTGTGATATCTCTATTGTGGAAGCGGACGTTAAAAGATCAGTATGTTTATTTAAAGTTATGGACAGTTCCTCTCATCATGTTACATATACAGCATGATAATTTGTTAATTAAAGATGAAACATTTTTCTCTTTGGGTTAGGCATAATTAAATCTTTTTTTTTGATATAACAGAACACAGTTCTATGGAGAATACACACAACATTTCATCAACAAGATTTCAATAGTTGTTATCAAACATACGTAATTAAAAATGAGCATGCTTGATAAAAATTAGTGAAATCTTGTTGAAACGTTGTGAGTATGTAATAATAATAAAGTGATTGTTAGCCATATAACTGTATTGTTTAATTGCTAAATGCCATTCAAAGATTAACATTTTAATATACTAGATAATGAATAGAATATATAAATGGTTGTGGTTCTCCTTTAGATTATATAATGCTACAATGTATTATACTTTTTAGACCCTAGTTATTTAGCCCAGCTTAATACATATTCTACATTTACATAGGGTTCTCTTCAATGTATTGCTCTTTCATTTTGAAATCAGATAAGACCATCAGTGGCCTGGGTTATTTCAGGTTTTTCGGGTTAATACAGCCTATTATTAACTAGAAGCATTAAAGGGTAGTCTGAACAACTTAAGCCATTAATGTTCTTTTAACATTCAAATTATGCAGCAATACTAATATATATAAAAGTGTACATACATCTTGGTAATACATCTTGAATTCAACAAATCTTACTTACAACAAACTGCTGATTGTCATTTGCATTTATTGGACAATATCTAAATTGATGATTTAACATTTGATTAAGAAAACAAATACCAGAATGTCAATTATAGATGACCTCCCAGTTTAGATTCAATCAGATTTTAAAAAGGCCCATCAAAAGATTTTACTCAAACTTTTATAGGTGGGGTTGGTTTATTTATATTTCCTGATTAGGATGATAAACGATTTATGGACTGATATATTCTTTTCAAAGGATTTTAGTTTGCAAATAATTCAAAATCCCTAAAAAAAAAGTGATCCGAAGCTTTCAGTTAAAGATCTATAGATCCCAATGTATTTTATGCGATGATATCTGTAGTCATATTGACTGGTAGTCAATTTTAACCTGCTAACAAATTTACCTGTCAGTCTATTTACATGCAATCAGATAGTATTTGAACAAATTTAACCATAAAACACAATAAATTTTGTTAAATTTGTAGATTTATAATTCTTAAAAAAAATATTCCTTGCTAATTCAGAAATACAAAATACACTCAAAATTAAGTACGGTAGCAGAAATTAAAGCCCTTGTCAAATCGTCAAAGTTTTGGGTGAAATATACTGAGTAGAGAATAAATCGGCTATCAAATTAAAGTATAGCCAAGATGATGTACAACTATTTCAAATTCCCTACTATATAATAGTATGGCTTATTGCTAATACTTTAATATCCATGCATGTGTATGCAAGGAATACTCTCATAAATATAATTGGCAGTTGGCAATACTATTATCATTATTAGGCTGAAGGCTTAAATATTACTTACAGTATAATCCAAGTATTAGCTACTACTAATGGTTATGGTGATATAACAATATGTACATCGCTTTGTTTGAGTTTAATTACTGTTCTGTCCAATCAAGTTTAATTACTATTGTGTTATGCCCATATGAGTTTAATTACCAATATGTGCAAATGAGTTTTTAACTACTGTTATGTCCATAAAAGTTTTATTATGGCCTACATGTGCCTTGGTCTTTTACCATTCATAAGCAAAGTAATTGCTTGGTGCAGGCAATTAAAAGGGTCTAATTGTTCAGATAGTCTGTAAAACTGAGGACCCTTGTATACCAGTGACAGCATGTTAAAGATCCCCTGACAGTTAGAATTTGAAATAATAGACTATATGACATCTTCATTGGTTTGTTTGTGCAGAAAATGAAGATATTGAACCCCTTATTATTTCATAGGGGACATTTGGGTAGTCGTGTTTTAGATCCTAAGGTCTGCCATTGAGTCAAGTGGCATGGTTTCAATCAAGCTTGTACCTGCCATTGAGTAGATTTGCCTGTCTAACCCTGTGGGTTTTCTTCAGGTCCTCATTAGTTTTTAGGCACAATATTGACATTAATATAAATCTATGCATGAAGTATATTAACCATTGGTGATATGGATAACTTGTGGTATATCAGAATAGACTATCAAATTAGTAGAGAATATTTTGTATCAATTAAATACTACTAAATTATCTTTCTTTCATAATGAACTTAATGAGGACTATGGTTCTTTCATTAAAAACATATTTAGATTTCAATAATTTGGTTCTTATAATTTCTTTAAAAAAACTAACTAATTGATTTAATTTGGTTTCATCCATAAAATTTCATTTTGTTTAATAACATATTAAAAAGAATTTAATTAACTGCATGAAAAATGATGCTGTATGGTTCAGTAGAGTAGTCAACTAGTCATCCTCTTTAGACTCAACTTGAAGTTGAATCAGATTGGATTGAGTATGATGATCAGAAGTTGTCTTCTTGTATTTGTATTTACAAGTTCAATAAATGGAGAGAGACAGATCACTATAACTTGGGTATTGTTTAGTTGTGGTGTTTTAGCAGAGTTCTTGTATTTAATGTCTAGTTCCAAACCATTGTTAGTTGTTATAATTACTAAACACTCCTAGTGAAAGTAAACAGTTGTAAACCCAACAATCATTATCTAATCTAGACGGACCATTTTAAACTACACAACATTAAAAACCCAATATATTTTTTATGATTCTCTAGGATTTTGAACAATTTGCTAACAATGGTTTGAAACCAAACATTAAGGGGGTACTCGATTAAACGTTCCAGAATTGAATTCTCTCAATCCCAAAAATAATTACAATCGAGTAAGAAGGGGGATTTCGGGCTACAACGCATGCGTTGACTGAATAAGTAAATATCTCTACCAACCATGCAGCCGAAACATACCCTCCGGGACTGTCTGAACTGTGACAGGACTGAATTCTGCGTTACTCGATTGCAATTCTGTCAATTCAGGATGTCTGGACAATAAATCGAGCATTTCCTTAATACTGTAACTCTTGCTAAAACAGCACAAATACACAATATTAAAAAGGGAGATAACTCCTAATTTAATGAGTTTCTCCATTGTTAGTTATATGATATTCTAAAAAGAATTGATTCTTAACTGAACTATTTTTCAGACTCTCTTATCAGCCATTATGCTGTTTATCAACATAGTTATTGTGATCGTTGCCTTGACGATAAAACAACGTAATGATCAACTGGTTGGTGACTACGCAGCTCTCAGTCTATCATACGAAAAAAGTGATGAGATTGGTGATGAAAGTGAGAAAAAAGGGGCTAGTAATAAAGATGCAGATATTATTAATGAAGAACAACGTAGATCTCCTAATCAAAGATCCTATAATTCTTGTAACACCATTCCCAAGGGTTAGTATATAATAGTTATTATACCATCACATTCCATAACAGTGTTATTGCAATTAGTATATGGACTTTACAACTGTATCATCTCAAAGAAAGAGAGAAATGGGGTTTAACATCCACAAGCTATGTCATTTTGGAATTAACATGGAACAATAATTTCTTACACTTTCATCGTCTTTAGCTGTGGGAAGGAACTGGAGGACCAGCAGAAATTCCATGAGGTTGGACAGACGACCCTACACCTTGGGATTGAAGCCACCCCACTTGGCTCAAGAACAGACACTTTATGGTCTAAAGCACATGCATTAGCCCACTCGACCTCTACTATACCTCCATCCCCTTAATATCTTCGGGTGTAAATAATAAACATCAATCACATTGAAAATATATAGTAAATATTTTCATATTGCAAATTTCGCATTATATGTATTTTTCTTGTTTTACTTATATTTTCATAGTACCAAGTATTGAGGATATCTTACCGTTTCCTAAAAGTAACAGCACCAGTTCTATCACCGATGTTACATCTGATGAAAGTAACGATGAACATCCATTGTTTGATACACTCAACGAGAGAACTTGTCTAATACAGAAATGTGGACCAACACAACGAAGACAGTGTATAACTAATTTACGAAAATATATGGTGGCGTCGGCATCGGTAAATGACGATCCACAGGCAGAACCTTCATCGTCACCGAATGAAGCTCTGTTAAAAGAATACCAATCGTCACACCATTTTGTTTTAGTTTTATTATTATTGTTATCTATGTTAGTGGTAAGTAAAGTTAATCATTGTAGTTGTCAATCATTATGGATAGCTTCACCCAAGAATTGATCTCAGCTAGCATAATGCGATGGATAGGAAAAGGACAAAAATCGATTAAATGATGAGGACTTTACATTTTCATGCGAAAATTAACATTATCTATAGGAGTGGAAACCAGAATTGCAACAGAAATTGTTGATTAGGTGAACTCCTCAATGAGAAGTGATATCAAATATTCTAGAATAAGCACACCCTACATTGTACACAATACCCATGCCAATAATTGACTCTATACTTTAGACTTGAATTTTAGAGAGAACACACTCAAATATCTTTCCATCAATTTATTGTTATTTAAACACAAATAAGACAATGGGATTTTAGTCACTCATTTACCTCATCTAGTTTTTAACTACTACAGTGAGAACTGCCAGCTCTTTCTAATCTTCCATAATATATCTTTAATATCCTCCCTCATATAATTATGGATTAAATGTGTTTCTTGGAATTGTATTCATATAAGTGAAATTTTAATCAATCTTTAATAATATAATGGATATATTTGTTGTTTTATTTATTATTTTTCAGGGTTTATTTCTATGCGTATGGAAGTTGTTTAATACCCATCCAACTGGTATTTACATAGAGATAGAATTTTTAGATGGTGTCTTTAACTACGGACAGGTAATTATTTCATGTTTTGTTGTCAAAATACGAAAATAATAAAAAAATATCCATTTAGTTTTAGTCCAATAGGCCGTAAATACTGATGATTTTTGACACTGTTTATTTCTGACTTTCCCTTTTTGGTTATGACAACAGAATAGTTGTATCGATGAAAATTACCTTGTCAGTGGTTGTTTACAGGGTGACCCTCTATTAAAAAGCTTGAATAAATTTCCTTTTTGAGAGAAAAGCCAGTGGTACAGGATTGGAGGCCTGGCAAGGAATAGCATCTAGTTGGACGAAAATCTGAGGTCCTATATACACCTTGGCGTGGACATATATGAACCCTTGATAGTATGAATTTGACGAAAGTTAGTGGAAAGACTGTCTCATGGCATATTTCTGTCTTTAGTAGCCCAGTAGGTGCAGAAAAGTAGGACGTTAAAATCCACAATTTCATTTCACTTTGAGGGATGCATTTTGTTGATTATGAAATGTGCATAGGTTTTCTTCTGCTTGCACATTTTGCTGTGGAATTTGCATGGAAACCCAGGATTTTACGAGAACATGGCTGCTAATTTATTGTATAGTCTGGTATGCATATTTTTTGTAACATATGTTCACACTACTGATTTGTTCTATTGTATGGAAAGCTGACAAGAAAAGTCGTAATATTTTAATTTATTTTGATAATTGTTTTTATTAAATTTCAATAATTCTTTTTTGTAGGGTTTTATAACATTTGCTGTGTTTGGTTTTGATACCAGATTAATATTTTCAAAAGTTGTCAGAAGGTATTTATTGTTCTACTTTCATTTTTATATGCCGCTATATAATGTAGACATATAATGGCGTCCCTATCGTCCGTCACTCCTTCCTTTGTACTCAATTCTCTGTGAACACTCTAAAGGTCTGAGTTCTTGTAGGGAGCCACCTACTGAGTAATGTGCTTGCTCACTACAAGGAGGTCTTCAGATTGATTGCTGTGTTTGATGAAAATATTATTCAAGATTTACCAGCGTGGTTTACCCATGTCAGTGTCTAATCATTTGAGGCCCTGTGTAAAGGATGGCGTACAGGTCAAATGCTTTGATAGCCAATTTCAGAGTTATCTCCCCATTTATTTTCAAATTTAAGAAATCTTGTGAATAGATATAGGACAGAGTTCATAAGAGAAGTTTTTAAGACTTGGTGGCATTGTTCATTAGAATATAAGGAAGGACACTTATTAAATTTTCTATTTACTTTGGATTGTATAAATCCATTTCAGAATTATCTTTCCGTTTGTATTTTGAGAACGTGATTTCGACAAATTTGGTGAAATGGGTAATTTAGGCCTAAGCAGGGAAACCTATCGAAATTCAGAGTTTATCCATCAGGATTCAGTTATGAAATCTTATGAATGCAAAACAGTTATCTATAACTAATAATAGTTAGTTAATTATTTTAAAACTTGCTATATAGGATTTTCTAACAATGATTTTAGAGCTACACTAACAAGTCTGCTAGTAGGGCATATTAGGCAGTCTGTCTAGAACAAGCGCCTGTCTATTTTACTTATATATCTATTTCTACACCACACTATATCTAATTGTCCTTGCACACATCTCACCAAAATTTAACACAATATCTTAGATATGTTAAAGGATAAGTCTAGTCTATGTAGATTTTTTATATTTTGTCCATTATCTTGTACTCACATGATTCCACAATGAATCTGCCATGACTGGCCCTCTCCTTTAACTACAGTGTAATCTTAAATGTATATCTTTATTCTGTATTCTTGAGTTATCATTCCAAATAAGCACCTGAGTACATCCACTGCACCATGAGATTTTTAAACTAAAATCACGGTTATTTCTGCTTGCAACGGAAAAATGTTTGGACTTTATAATGTCGAAGAGAAGTCAAGGTAAATTAAGATCAAGAAAATATTATTTTTAGTGGTGCCATAAAACAGTGAGGGTGCACTCATCAGACTATGTGTGCTTATTTGAATGTTTTAAATCAGTTTGCAAAAGCCATTATCCATATAGAATGTATAGTATAATGCCACACCATTCAACATTTTGATATAGAATAGGATATGAAGAAACTAAATACATTTTATGAATAACTTTTAAGATGAATTACAGTGTTTTAAGTTAAGGGAAATTGAGCATTGTTTTATAAACAATATTATACTTATCCAGGGAATTAAATATTTGTGTTTTAATATTTTCTCTCTCTTGCACCTCTATTATTACTATTAATACAGTCCTTCAATAATTCTTGGATTATTTAACCAACTACACATTATCCTGTTGATTTCTATTTTCACTCACAAAAAATACTTACTAACAATTAATACAAAAATCTATATAATTTTAAAAACAAATACATGTATATATGTATATCATTAATAATATATTTCATAATGTCATAGCATCACTAAAAAGATCCATGCATCACTGTACTGTATGGTAATATTAATAGTTAAGTAATATGATTATAAAGTTTAGAAACATTGTGTCAACAAATACATTAAAGATAATCATTTAGACTCTAAAGTATTAGCAAGATTTAAGATAAACAAACTCTGAATAAGTTATATACTAATATTAGCTAAAGGATCAGTTAAGTACTAATTTTAAGTAAACATGACACAAGATGAACATACTATTGACACTTTTCCCCTTATAATATTTTCCTATCCAACCTCATATCTATATCTATTAATCATTTACATAGGCTAAACCTGCTTCCAACTCCCATCCAGAAAATATCAAATAGAATATTGTTTTAAATTAAAGAATTATGTAATTCATACTATTATGATTATTATTTGTTTAAAACATAGTTAATATTAAGAAACACCATTATTCGTCAAGTTTATGTTAAATATGTAAGTAAAATATTGACTCACCAAAGACAGAATTGTAGAAGTATAATCCACACAGAGCTCAAGTCGTATAATGACTTAAGGCTTAACACGTCTCAGGTATTTGTTCTTTTAAGCCGTTTGACTTGAGCTAAACTGTGTCCTTGTTTTATACAAATTAATGGCAATGTCGTGGAATTTTACCCTTTCAGATACGTATCCAAATATAAGTGGATTAATGTACAGTATGTTAGGTAAAGAACAAATACAAATTGTAAAATCATATTTATACATTATTTATGTCGTAATTGAATTTTTCTCCCGTTTAATGTTTGTATGCAAGCTTAATAATGTTTCATTTGTGTTCGACGTAATAAAATGTCCCAAAATCACTTTCAGTTATTTCTGGAAAGCTGATTTAAAAATTTTATTTTTAAAAGATAGTTTTAAAAACTTATATCATTATAAATGATATATTATTATATTCTTATTGTGCATTTCTTTTATAAAGTAACGATGCGCGACTTACATTTTTCGGAAAATATCAAATTTCTCACTGCTTAATCCACGCAGATTGATTGTTTAATATTTTATTAGAAAAATCAAAATACCAATGCTAGATAATCTCTGGGCTTGGATTCAGTCAGGTTTATCAATTTGGTCGGAGGAAATAAGAATAGGGAGCAGCACAGAATGATGTAATTTTCAACTTGTCACATCTATGTTAATACTGAACAGAATTGAACCATTTTTGGACAGATATTCCTTTTATAGATCAAACTTTCACAATATTATTGCTTGCAAGAGATTATAAAATCATGCATAGCATAGTTAAATGATCAGATTTTTGTATTATAATTTCATACTTGAACTTTTGTACTTTTACCCCACATTAGAATTTGTTAATTAGCTTTGTAGCATAGACAAAGCTTTTATATTGTTTAAGAGACAATAATATCAGTTAAATTATTAGATCATTACCAAGTTATTCAAATTATTTAATCTATGTTAGGTCCATTTCAAGCCCTGTTGTATGGAAGAGTTCAGAAGCAGGGCGATGGATACAAACAAATTTCCAAATTAATATTAAACGGGGGTTGTGTGGCCCCATCCTCCTTGCAAAAATGCTTTTGAGGAGTTGAATACCAACAAAACAGTATTACCTGCCTCCCTCCTCCACATCAATATGCCGTCCATTTGAAATTGAAAAACTATTTGGCTTGTTCAAGTCATTTATAGTTGTTTTGATCCAAAGCTAATTAGAAAATTTTTTTTGTGATGTCTTCATGTTGTTCTTATGTAGTTCCATTTGTTTGGTTTTTTTTCTGTATTGCACATGTGTTGTTTTGTTGTACATTGCTTGTTTACACTGATTAACCTTTGACCTTTATGAATGTGACCTTCAGTGATTTTAAAATCTTGACTTCACACCAAGGTCAAGAATTAAATTCTAACACAAAGACATTGTAAAAGCTTACACTAAGATGGATTAACTTTCTTACCTTCCTATTGTCTGTATTTTGTAAGATATTTGTACATTAGGTCTTTCCTAACCAGATATACACATCCCACTCATATTTATATGTTATTTACTAAACGTGGATATACGTGAATCAGAATCACATAATAATTATACTACACAGTATCCACTAAGTGACCCAGCTATGTACAAGTTGCTGAGCCTGTAATAAGGCTCCGATCTTGACACTTATTAGGTCATTTTGTGACTAACATACGCTAAATTTCTTTATTTTAATAATTCACATGCGTATGCGGTTCTTTTGAGGTGGGACAAAAACCTGAAGGATCCCATGAAAATCCATGACAGAACTAGGATTCAAAGCACACAATTTAGACCATCCAATCTCCATCTTAACTGATAAACACATAATGACTACAACTTTAATCAAATCAGCTCACCAGACAGATTTGCATGATTTGACCATTTATATATGGATGCTATGTTTATAAATCAAATATTTAATATTCATGATTCAATAAATTGATGGTAGTCCCTACCTTAAATAAGTTTATTCATTTTTAAAACAGACATTTACAGCTTTATTCACACTGTTATTCTACGTGAGATATACATATACATATATAATTTTTTTTGGTCTTCTTTTGTTATACATTTTATTTTATGAAAAGGTTTTAATGTCGCTGATCGTCATTTTCGGTTTCCGGACAATATCAAAATTTGTATGGCTGTGTCCATGTTAAAATGTACTCAGATTGTTTATAGAACATTTAATTTAGAAAACAAAAGATATCAACAGTAGACAATCTCCTGATGTGGATTCAATCGAATTAAAAAGTGGCCCATCAAACGATTTTAACAAAGGCTTTGGCTTGCTTTACCATATTCTGATGTTGATAAATTTTCAGTTCATCATGTATGAGTAACGTTTGAAATATTGTAGTTTGAAAGGGGGATTAGAAATCCTTTAAATGACGATCAGTAACTTTAATAATTGGTTAACAATATGACTGAGTGTTATTTTGAGAATAACAAATTGGTATTTTTTCTATGGTTTTATTTTATGATAAGTTTAATATGGTTGTTCTGTCTTCTATTCTTTTTGAACCGTTTTAATATACTTGATGATATAAACTTGTTCTTTGCCATCCCACACATCATTCGTGAAGTTACATCTGGTTACAAGACAAAGGACCAGAAATACAAAATAAACAAGGAGACATTGATCACATTATTTTATTATTAAAAAATTGGTGTTTTTACCTTGAGATACATGTGGCTTTGATTTCTTTTTTAAGGATTAAGGCTTTTGCAAAAATGTTATAAAGGTGAAATAGGGCTATAGAAAATGATTTTTCTTCTTTTTGGTCTGTTAGCATTTCAAACTGGTTGATTTGAGTTACTTTTCTTAAATGTTTTTTTCTGGTAGTGGTAATATGGTTCTTGGTCTTTGACAATCTCTCTCTCTCTCTCTCTCTCTCTCTCTCTTTGGTCTTTATTTCTTGCCTCTGATTGGGAAAATCTGCGGGAATTTGTTTATGAATAACCTGATTTCTGGTTTGAGTTTTCCTATTTTAATATTTTAATTAGTTTGTTAATTATTTTTGATAAATCATTATGTGAACTATATAATTTCCATAACCGAATATTATTGGGTGTTTTTTTTCCGACCCAGCAAAACTTGATGGTGTAGATTAGCAAGTGTCAAGTACAATTTATTTGTAGGAAATGATCAAGTAATTTGAGTTTCATGGTAGCCATAATTCTTAGTATTGAATATTTTATTTGTACTATTGTCAGTAGTCCCTGTATAAGTATAGTGGTTTACATGTTATATATTGAAACTTACAGATCATCTATCCTATGTAAAGGATATCTCACTAATATTTACATCAATTATACTCGGTGAGAACATCAGCATTTAAAATTTTCATTTTATTGTCACCAACAAGTTATTAATAATTCAATTATGAAATGAAATTAAATGAAATGGGGTTTAACGTCCTACTGTTCTGCTCCTATACTGGGCTAATGAAGACGGGCATACGCCGTACAGTGTGCTATGAGGGAAATTTTGCCCGGGCAGCGGCACTATCACCTACTCTTATATCGAATTCCAACTGCCAGGGGATCTTTTACGTGCATTCAAATATATACACAGGACCTTGGTTTTTCGTCTCATCCGAAGGACTAGACAGCTGTCCTTGTCAGGTCCGCCGTCCTGCATCACTGACAAGGGGGAACCATGCCGGAAAATCTGGATGAACTTTCTCGGCCAATGCAGGGATCAAACACCTGACCTCCAGGCTAGCGAGCCAGCGTCTTACCCACTTAGCCACGTGATCCCCAATAATTCAATTAAAGTCGCTGGTCATTTTCTGGATAATATGTAATTTTCCACACCTTGTAGTCAAATTGATTATTGTACTTTTAATTAAAGAAAAGATTCAGTTGGATTAAAAGAGGCCAATCGGTGGTACTGGATGCGAAATGTTGACATATTTTCAATTTATCATATCTTTGTAAATACTGAACAACCATTTTTTGACCGATATTCACAATATTGTAGATTTCATGGGATTAAAAATCCCTCAAATGATGATCAGTGGCTTTAATGAACATTTATAAAGATATATTACTTTATGGGTTTAATTTGGTTATTTATTGCATTTCACATCTCAAATGAAAGGGGAAATAAAATGGTAGGCAGATAGAACACACTATAAAAATAAAATACTGTAAGAGAACATCTTAGCCTGTCAATCAATAGATGAAGTATTGTTTATTTTTGTACTTGTATGCATTTATTTATTTTTAAAATATTCATTTGTAACCTTTATAAATCAATTATTAAATGAGTTTCACGAACTATCTCAATTAATAGTATATATTAATCCCTGTTATTCTTTTAGTTCGTACTACTACTCTATTTTATCCATCTTTTTAATTTTACTATAAGGTATTTCATCTTATTAATATACTAAAAACTTTATATGAAATGTTGTTTGATCTTGATTTTAAGTGAAATTAAATTTGTAAATAATTTGCAATCTGTTTTATTATAGAATACGTCGTTGGTTGTATGGTGTGGAAATGGTACAACTACCCGACATGTCCGACCTAGATGATGAAACTGTACAAATCTGTAAACAATTTACAGAATATCATCAAGAAAACTGTGCCAAGATGATTGTTAAAGATTTAAGGTAAATTAATATAGGTTTTTTTTTCATTTTGATATGTTTTGTATCCCTGGGGAATGTAGTAAAATTGCTATCTATAATCAAGTCTTATATCCTAGCAATGTTCAGATTGTTTTGTGACATACTAAGCAATAGTTCCTGAAGTAAAGAATCATGGGAGATAATGTAGTATTCTGGCTAGGTCAATACACTTGAGAATTTTGTATTCACAACATATCAAAATGCAATTTGATGTTGTGATTGTAATGATGTATTTAAACTCATTCGCAAATAAAATTATTGCTAATTTGGATCAATTGCCACCAAAAGATTGACATAAATAAGAAATGAACTTCACTTTTGTAAAAACAACATATTGATATATTTTCTAACATAACATCATTTCTTCATGTTTTATGATTTTTTTTATTCTAGGTATCGATTACGAATGTATAAAGATGTGTTCACTGGAAAAGCTTTATGTGATTGGTTGATAAATGTTGGACTTGCAAAAGATAGACTAGAAGCTATTGAATATGGCCGCCATTTGACTATGGGGCGTACCTTAGCTCATGTGACTGGTGAACATTTCTTCCATGATCTTCCTTACTTTTACAGATTTCTTTCAAATGAACCAAAATATTCTTCTTGTTAAAATTGTGTAAATCAAAAATAATATGTACACATCAAAGTAATCCTAATGATGTGGCCAATAGGTTAATGACATGAAATTTGATTTATACCAAAGATTCTGTTGTTTTGGATGATCTAGTCAATATTTTGTAGAACCTACAGGAGGCTACAGTGCCTTTCCAATGAATTATATATTTACAGCTTAATCCATGACATATTGTATAAAAAGTATTAAAAACCAATTGATATTGTATATAATTGTGTCTAGATTTCTTCGTGAACACTTATGTTATAATATAATTTGAGAATAGCCTACCTACATTGTCGGATAGTTAGAAATAGGCTCTTATTTCCCTCTTATTGACCTGCTGGTGAAATTACCTGTCCATTTATATTACATACATAAAATAAGGTATTTCAAAGAATTTTACCTTAAAACACATTAAATACACTTAAATTTAAAATTATTATGTGAGTTTAATACTGCAAATAATTTAACCTTATAACCCAATAAATATACTTATATTTAAAGATGTTTATTTAGGGTTTAATACTACGAAGAATTTACCAATAAATACCTGTATGAATACCAGGGTGCAAACTGTTAAAGTATTAAAAATGTATTAAGAAATGTATTATAAGTATGAATGCCTTATGGTGTATAATGTATATACATGTAGACCAGTATTTAAATTTATGTCATGATTGTCATCTTTAATAAATCAAATATCAAAAGTTTTTAATGTTGAACATAAATCTTCATAAGAAAATATAGTTAATTCTGTACAAAATCTTCATACTTGAGCACAAATTAGTTGATCTAAACTTAGTCATAGTGGATGTCTGTTTCTGGGTTATCTGGATTTGTAAACTATAAATTAGCTTATATTGGATAATTTGATTATTGAAAATAATATATTTTCCATGGAATTGTGTTGTCTTATATTGTATGTACAGGAGTTAATCTGGATTACAGGTAAAAAAAAAAAAAGGATAGTACCTCTTTTCTTTTATACTTTACTCTTGATTAATTCATGGACATGTTAATGAGGGAGTCATGGTGACTCATTGAGTAAATAAGGTGCTGGATATATTTTATCTCAGTGTTAGTCAAGAAACCAGTTTCTAGTCATTGGGTTGGCACTAAAAACAAAGGTTCCATGTGCATGTAAAAAAACCTTTACAGTTGGAATTTGATAAATATTAGGATGTTAAACCCAATTTGGTTTTTATTTCACGAGTTAGTGCAATATAAGAATGGAATCCAGATCATTCAGAAATGTATTTATATTTGTAAACTGTAGAAAAGATAGTTTATTTTATATTGTTGTTATATTTACAGATTTTGTTGAAATTTATTACCATTATTTAAATATTGTTTTATATATATTTCTATAAATAATTTTTGTGAATAATTGTTGTTAAAGTATCGTGTCTTGTCTCTTTGTGTACATGTAGATATAGTAAGAAGTATTGTAGGATTATTTTAATGAGAGATCCTCCTACTAGTTATCAACAAAAGAGTTATTTTGTCAAAATCATCCAAAGTGTTGCAGAAAGTAATCGACAAGGAAAAATGTTACAGATATGCATAGTAAACATATTTAAATTATTTCATAAAAGACTATGGATAATTAAAATGTTGACAAAGTGATGTAATACTGACAGGGATGAACTATAGCATATCACCATTGAGCATGATAATATACCTTTACAAACAAGAACCAAGCTACGAATTAAACTTTATGACATGAAGACATATAAGATAGATTTATACACAGTACTTATTATATTCAAAAATGGTTATGTATGGTTAAATATTAATGGAGATATTTCAAAAAATATAGACTGCTTGCTTGCACTTTAAAATGTATGCCACTGCCATATTGAATCAATTATTATTGGGTATATATATATATATATATGAATATCTATTATATATCTTTCCTTGTTGTTTACTTTTTGCAATACGTTTGATGCCTTTGACAAAAAAATATTCCTGTCAGTGATTAGTAGGACATGGGAAATTGTGTGAGATTGAATCTTTGATTCTTTCAATGGGCTAAGCCGATTGATTTCTTAAGAAATTTATGTTACATGTAGTTGAGTTTGGTTTTTTTTAGTACAAAAGCCAGAAAACTTGAAAACATTAAAATATGTAAAAGTAGAACTTGATAGATGTTTTTTTTTATAAATCTAGATATTGTATACATGTATTGGATGTTTTTGTCCCCACAATGTCCATTATTTTGGCTTAAAAATGAGATCCATTCCATCTTGTCTTGTCCTGGTATTTTATGCATACCAGGAGTCTGGTCCATATCATATTTTAATACTAGTTATTTATTGTCCCAGGCCTTTCGGGGAAAATTGGAACCCAATAATTCTGCGTCTAATTGCAGTAGAATGTTAAAACTTGTAAATATTGGTTAGGTAAGTGTCCTGACTGAGTTCTATGATGAGCATTTTCTGCTTAGGCTAAGCAGAGATAAGCAATTTGATTTGTCAATGCTTTGGGATACAACTTAGATTGCAATTGAGTGAAAGTGGAGGGAACATCAGCCTTACTGTTGGCTTATTTATTATTTGATTTGCTTGTCTTGTATGATTAATTTTTGTCCTTATGTTTTGATGCATTTAAACTGAATTTGATAATGGATAAAAAAGTATGTATCTATATATATTCTATCTCTCCAAATTTCTTATATATTATGTAAGTACATGAGTTTAATGTCTAAAACATTTACTATCATTTCAAAATTATTTCAGCCAGCTAGTCAGTTTGTTGTGTATTTAGTGCATTTACTACATTAAGTTATTATTGAAATTTGATGATTTTGTTTCTTTTCATTATGATGAAACAACCAATAAATTTATATAATCCACAAAGATAATTATTATGTATGTACAATGATTGTCAGATTAATTTTCTGGGTAACCAGTTGTATAATACATTATTATTTTAAAATAGACAGCTATGTGCACATTGTTTTTTAATAAGAAATGTAAAGAAATTGTAAAAAAAATCCAATTAATATAGGCATGTGCAGTAATATAAATATGCGTAGGCCTTGCTAATTTTATTAATATTATCCAAATGATTTCAATATGGCACATGAAGGTGTAAGTGGATTCGGTGTTGAAGTTTTCTGTGGTGATTCAGTCACCATTAACAACTGACTTCAACACCAGTATCAAATTCAGTAATATTCTATTCAATCAGAAAAACAAAACAATCTGAGAAAGCTTGCCCTTGGCAAGTATTGTTTATCATAGGGAAGGTTTTGCTTATTTAGATGACAATCATTATTGACTATACGCGACTAATTGCCATGGGCATATATTTCATTGCCTGGTAACCAATCGTTCAAGTTACAAGTGAATTAGTTTTTTTATGTGAGTTTAATTGAGTACTGAATGAGGAGGAATTGTGATATATACATAAGTATAAAACGTACATTCTGTAAATGATTTTGATTAATAAAATTAAATTGAATTTAGTGTTTGTTATGAAAGCTGACATGTATTTGAAAGGAAAACCTGGATGTTGCCTTAATTTGATAAGGAAGGGGGAACCCTTTAAGAAATATGATGTCTGTAGTGTTCACGAGCTTGAAAATATAATCATTAAAAACTGTAGCCTCTGTCTGTTCGCGTAGTCTTTGGCAAAAGGGGGGGGGGGGTAACTACGGAACGAGAATCGCGAAACAATGAACATCAATAGGATTCCCCAACTCTTTGCCACCAAATGTGAAGACAATCTTGTAGTCTCTGTCTGTTCGCGTGGTCGTTGGCAAAAGGGGGGGGGGGGGATAACTACGGAACGAGAATCGCGAAACAATGAACATCAGTAGGATTCCCCAACTCTTTGCCACCAAATGTGAAGAAAAATCTTTCAAAAACAGTAGCACCTAACAGGATTTTCAGGGGGCTACACTCTGAAACGGAAAGTTTGAAAACGCTGAATATCGATAGGGTTCGTCCTTTCTTGACCACAATACGTGATTGTCACGTTCACAAGGTGTTTGGCAAAGAGGGGTTACTCCTAAACGGAATGTCACTGAACTCTGCTAGATGCATTTTTATCGACCACTGATCAATCAAAGTGATTTGTATTCAATCAGATTTTCATCTTTAACGTCCATCTACAAATGTAATTCAAATTGATTACCCTAATGAATTTATCGACACCCGATTTTCGAAGCGATTACCACATTTGCCAAATCATCATCTCTACTCTAGGTGCGATTTGATCGGGTCGTCAAGTGTTTTTTGGGTTGTTTTGTTTTTTTTTCAACTATATCCAGCCACAGGAATTTGTTTACAGTTAATCGGCGCATTTAACGAATTCGTCACGTTTTTTGAAATCGACTATACCGTTCTGTAGATAATATATCATAATTACGCCCTCGGAGTCCCAGAAAACGGAGGCTATGACCTTGCCACTGGAAGACGTTCTTTGGAAGTTTTTAGGCGTTGGTGACGTTTTGTGCTTCCACTACATACTTTGATCTTTTGTCTCTGGATCAAACTGATGTACCCAGTTTCACCCTGAGTAACAATACCGAAGAAAGTAAACGGATATATCCAGGGAGACCCCTCGAGAAACTGTTAACAAACCATGTTGTGGGGAATGCTCACTAGTCCGCCGATATCTATTATTGCCATTGTTACGATTGATGGTTTCATGTAAATGCAACGAACTCTGACAATAACGCACCCACCCTGACAATGAAATGTAAATGAAATGAAATGAAACGGGGTTTAACGTCCTATAGGTTATGCCCCGAACTGGGCTAATGAAGACGGACATGAGGGAAATTTTGCCCGGACAGCGGCACTACTGCCTACTCTTATATCGAATTCCAACTGTCAAGGGATCATTTACGTACACGGGACCTCTGTTTTTCGTCCCATCCGAACGACTAGGTAGCTGTTCTTGTCAGGCCACAATGAAATGTAACGCACTCACACTGGCAATGGAATGTAAAGCACCAAGCCCGACCGACAATGAAATGTAATACACCAACCCTGACAATGGTATGTTCGCAACGCACCCACACTGACGGCATGTACGCAACGCACCCACACTGACAATGGTATGTAACCATTTTTCCAAGAACTGATTTCCAAGAGTACGCCGATAGTGCCGCTATCCGGGCAAAGTTTCCCCTCATAGTTCACTGTAGAGCGCATGACCGTCTTCATTAGCCCACTCGGAGCAGAACAGTAGGACATTAAACCCCATTTCATTTTATTTCATTTTTCCTACTTTTCTGCGCCAATCGGACTGTTGAAGATAGGCATACGCTATGCAGAGCGATATGGCGGAAATTTTCTGGTGACAATGGCATTTCCGCATCGAATTCCAACTGTGAAGCGTTCTTTTATGTGCACACTAATGTGTATACAGGGGCTTGTGTTTTTGTCCCATCTACAAAACTAGACACTGTTCTTTGCAAAAACCACGGTGCAAATTCCTGGAGAACTTACTTGACCAACACCAGGATTAGTGTACATATTGAAATTGTATATTGAGAGGAAGATGTCGGACAACCCGACGTTACGACATTTTATACGTGATATTACGACATTTTTAATGTCGTGATGTCGGGTAAAAATGTCGTATTGTCGAGTTAAAACGACGTATAGTCGGGTCGTCTTGGTGTCGTCGGGTTAAAATGTCGTGATGTCGGGTTGTCGCCTTCTGAAGGGCGACACCACGACATAATACCCGCTGGTGGTGGTGATGGGGGGGGGGGGTTGTTTTCCATATTTATAGTGTTTTTATAGCGGCGGACTAGTGCATCCGCGAAATAGCGAACCCGCGATCTAGTGCACCCGCGGGCCAGTGAACCAGCGGACCAGTGTACCCACGGACTAGTGAACTCCTCTCACTGTTTTGCTCTTCCGTCACCATTCTGGGCACCCAACGGACAGACACCCTTTTCATGTGCAAATATTTATGGATTATTCTAATGATGTTTAACTAATATCATGTGCAGTAGCTAACTGTCTGTAGCAGATAATCGCCTGTCCTGTATTATTGTGTCGCGAATAGCATCAACTTCATCTTGGATGGTCACTGCCGCTTTCAGTACTGTCTTTTGTCCCTTGTAAATTCAGCATACCACTGTTTGACTGTAGGCCAACTATATACGAACCGGATTTGTCACTAACTATTTGTGTCATGTCATCATGTAATTGCTTTGGCGAAACTTTTTTTCAAATAAAGATACTAATTTTCAGAGCAAATGAGAGGGTAGTGCCGTTTGACAGTGTCAATAATGACAGACACCTGTCGCATGTTCCATGCACCCTTACAATACGTTAATAGTCTAATGTAAACTTTAAATGGCCATATTTAAGTTAGAATTGATCAATCTGAGTAATATTTTGAACTCTATATTCAATCTTTATTCTGGCATGTTAGCGCTTTATGGATTTTATTATATAGATGTTTAGTGGGTACGTGAAAGGTTTATAAATGATTGATTGAAGCCCATGGACTGTCATATTCCTTTCTATTTAAAAATGACAAAGATAGATTTGTGTCGTACAATATATATAGAAACAATAGTTGTCATTAACCTTGTTCGTGTCCTCAGTCTCAAGTCAATATGGCAGACAACAGAATTTTGGTGAGTTTTAGTGTTGGTTTTCTAAAAAGCTAAATATTTTATCGAAACTATTAGGCTGGTATTGAAATAAAAGGGCTATAATGTATCTGTTTATATAAAGGGTGGGTGTATCGCTCTTCATATGGTTTCTTTGACAAGGGTCGGGAGGTGGGGAGGTAAATTGGTTATATATTTACTGTATAGAGTACTCATCTGGGAAGTTATATCTGTTCGTATATATGTATTTATCTATCTAGGGTTCGCGCTAGTCAAGCGGCAAGGGAAATGAACTCTTAACTACAACGCCCCAGGTTCTAATCTTGTGAGCTTCGAAATGAAACGAAATGAAATCGTTTTAACGTCCTACTGTTCTCTTTCTACTGTGCTATGCTGCGAACGGGCATGCGCCATACAATGTGTTATATGATGGAGAATATGCTTGGACGAGCGGTGCTACGGCCTACTCTTATATCGAAATTTTAACAGCCAAGGGGTCTTTTACGTGCACGCAGATGTGTACACAGGACCTCCATTTTTCTTCCAATCCGAACGACTGTATGTTGTCTCTTGCCATGCTCTCTGTCCTGCACCACTGACAAAGGGGAACCACGCCGAAAACTGATGAAATTTCTCGGCCAATGCACGGAGCGAACACCGGCACGGGGCCTCCAGGCTAGCAAGTCAACGTCTTACTTACTCACTGAGCCACCGTGGCTCCCTCGTGAGCCCCTAAGAACGTCTTTCGAGGACGGTTTCAAACGCCTGTGAGGTTGACAAGTAAAATATTGCCTAATAGTTCGGTAGTGGGACGAAAAACGAGGTCCACAGTGTAGACTTTGGCGGGCATGTAAAAGACACTTAATGATTAACACTAGCTTGTCCTTGGTAAATTATATTATGCTACGCTATGGATGGTGCCTCTCCTCTTGTGAAAAAAAGTGATATATACCTTTCATCAAATTGAACGATCATTTAGGTACATAGAACTTATGACCTCTGCTAGTTTTGATAATATATGATATTGACGTTTCACCTCTGTATAAACTTCTGTTATGGCACGGACTTATTAAACATCTAATTAATTCAATATGTCCTTTACAACCTACACATGATCTGTGAATAACACTCGGCGAACTTCATGACTTCAAAAGAAATACGCAGTGCAGTTACAGATACCAATAATATGATGATTCACTCTTGTCCATTTTCCCTAATTATCGTACGCTATATAATGAGGAGTTCACTGACAGTTAAACAGGGCGACTAGAGAGACGGTTGGAGAGGAGAGACCGGCATATGGACTCACCCGAGTTCTGCCGCTGCCTTGGCAGAGGGGCAGAATGGTGGACTCAATATAGTTATATGTGTTCCGATGTAGTTTAGTTCCAGTATAGTCTAGTTTCTGTAGTTTTGTATGTAGATGTGTTATATACCTGATGTAAATAAATCCTATATTTACGAAACTGATCTCCGTTATACAAAGATAGTGTTACACTCTATTTGATAATTAAAAAACGGTCTTTCCACAGTGCTTGAATCCATTGTCTATCTTAGATATAATATGCCAACGAAAGTCATAATATATTATGTTTATTTCAGATAACGGTTGTCTGTTTGACATTGATTGGTGTTGTGTATTCACAGTTTAGTCAGGATCCATGTCTTGTAAGTATATTTAATGATAATTAATGGTCTTGGTCAGATATATTAGGTAATCTGATTAAAATACAGATCTATATTTTGTGTTGTTTTTTATACGAAACGAAATAGGATCTGTGTTTTAGTCAGAATCATATTAGGTCATTTCAAATTTTGCGTTGAGGAGAGTTGAGTTGTGTCAAGTTGATTTGACGATCATTGAGTTTTGAGTTAGATGTGTGTCAGTGCTGGGCTATATTTAACCTATACATGTATGATCTAAAATTGAGTTATCCAGTTGTGCGTGTAAAAATGTATTTGAAAAGATTTATTTAACGTCCGCTTTCACAAGCGTGATTAAGATGTAGTAGGATGTTAAACTCCATTTCATTTCATTTTTACACTTAAATAAAAAATTGGCATTAAACTCGCACATACGCATATAAGCAAACACACGACAAGCTTTCTGCAGTCTAGGTCATGTTTTGACGATTAAACCTATGGAAGCCTATAATAACTACCATTCATAATTTCTACCTTTCGCCTCTTCGGAACGCGAAAGTCGAAAAGTAGAAGTTACGACAAAATGTGAGGCGACAAAACGCTATACAAGCCAAAATCAACTCGAAAATAGTAAATTAAGAAGTAACACACCGCGATAATAGCGCCCCTCGTTTTTTTCCTAATTTTAGACTTGCATTTTGGCTGGTATACCGTCTTGTCGACTTTCGACTTAGTCATATTTTTGTATTTATTGATGTCAGCAAGAAGGCGCCAACACGTATACCACGCCAAAATGCAATTCGAAAAGTAGAAAATAAGAAATAAACACACGCGCTATTAGCGACCTATCATTTTGGCTTGCTGTCGTATTGGCGACTTTTCGAGTTTCGCCTCGCTATAAGCGACCTATCATTTTGGCTTGCTGTCGTACTGTCGACTTTTCGACTTTCGCCTCGGAAGTTGTTGTAGTCTCAATTTTCCAGGTTGCATTTGAATACGTGCAATCAGGGCTCACACTGTCTTACATTTTTTTTCCGTCAAAATGGATAATAATTTTTATATAAAAAAATTGTTCATATTTTTTTCCCGCCAACAGGAATATTTTATCTGCCAAAAATGTTTCATAAAAAAACCCTTAGGCTACAACAATTTAATTTATTATGTGGGCCTATTATAAAACAAATTTCCTGTACCGGTATATACAATATACAACAACTTACAAAATCCGTCTTACATGGGGGCTGAGTGGTCTAGTGGTTTAACACGTGCGCGTGAAATCACAAGGTATGTCATTGATTCAAGTTGTGTGGTTTCGATTCCCCGCTCAAACATGACAAGGGAGTAGGGTCGTTTGTCCAACCTTGTGGGTTTTCTCCGGGCACCCCAGTTTCTACCCACTGCTAAAGACCGTTACGTGCAAACGAATTATTGAAATGATATAGTTTGCGTCGACTTTATCATACAGGCTATTTTGTTAACGCGAATTGCATGTATTCAAATGCGACCTGGCAAATTGAGACTACAATCACTTCCGAGGCGAAAATCGAAAAGTCGCCAATACGACAGCAAGCCAAAATGATAGGTCGCTAATAGCGCGTGTGTTTATTTCCTAATTTGGTATACGTGTTGGCGCCTTCTTACTGACATCAATAAATACAAAAATATGACTAAGTCGAAAGTCGACAAGACGGTATACAAGCCAAAATGCAAGTCGAAAAGTAGAAATTAGGAAAATACGAGGGGCGCTATTATCGCTGTGTATTATTTCTTAATTTCCTATTTTCGAGTTGATTTTGGCTTGTATAGCGTGCTGTCGCCTCACATTTTGTCGTAACTTTTCGACTTTCGCCTTCTAAAGGGGCGAAAAGTAGAAATTATGAATGGTAGTTATAGGCTTCCAACCAGACCGAATTTGAGTTAAGCACATGTAGCCATGGTGGTTCTTGGTGACTCAAAACCAATTATATAAGTCGACAACAGCTGAACTCATTCAAAATTTGAACTGTGTATTTAGAAGTATAGAGTAACACCTCTAGGTTTGGCCGTATGGAGCATACTAGAGTCGATTTGTAGCATTATTGTCCGAGCAACTAGCTGAACAATAATATGGTTAATGAAGATTTAGATACGGAGCTGCCCGTTCTTGCTGATAGTTCAAAAATAGATAATGCAAAATTAATATATTGAAAATTTCATTCACATTATTTTATTCTAAGCGCAGTTATTACTGTTTGGAGTTTAGACATTGTATACATTTGAAGCCAAACTAAAGACCTGCAATAGGCATGTTTAGCTCTAACAAAAAGCATTTCTAAGATGGGAGAAAATACGTCTATTGCCCTCTCTTCACCTAACCCGTGGCGCTGGTTTCGGAATATAAGTCCTAAAGTGCACTGCCGTCATGTAAACTAACTATTTTATTTAATTACAATGATTTGTATTATTAACAGCGGAAACAGTGTCCACTTGGTACGGGATGTCGAATTGTTGCCAAAATATGCAAGGGCGAAAACGCAGCGGACTGTAATCCTGAACCAGAATGTGTCCGAGGTAATCTTGTAATTATACAAACACCAACAACATCTCCACAGTTCCAGACTATTCCAGCTATACTCAAGAAATCTGCAGGCCTACTGTTCTGCACTAGCCGGGCTAATAATACCGCATACGCCACTCAGTGTGCTATATGAGGGAAATTTGTCCTTGACAGTGGCGCTATGACATACTCTTATTTCAAATTCCAACCTTGGTCGTTCGTTCCATCTGAACAACCAGACACTATTTCGTACCTGGCACTTCACCCTCCACCACTGACAAGGTGAAATCACACTGAACAATTCCGAGGTACGTTCTCGGCCGACACCCGAATCGAACATGAGACCTCCAGGTCAGTGAGCCAGCCAACGTGGCTCCCAACAGAATCGTTTTACCATTCCATTTACCACGCAGCAAATATTTATTTTAAATTCTAGTAAGCCCTTTCAGCTCCGTTGGGCCTTATTTGCTATTTTTCTTACCTTGTAAGTAAATACTACATACGTTACCATGACAGTTTTACCGATTGGCTTTAATGTAGATATACAAGTATAATAGCTGAAGAAACAAACCCACAAAGAGTCACATCGCACTACTGTTTAAAACTTAGACAATGTCTGATTTTAATTTTTCAGCACCGTATGCCATCAGTAATTTCAACCCTTGTGCTGTTGGTCAACCACTGTTGAGTTCTATTGGTCAGCCATTGTATTGTACAATTGACCAATGTCCTAAATCTTCCTATTGTATGCGGTCGTATGGTCCTGCTGGTGTTTGCTGTTTCGACTTTAAAGGATATTATGGTAAATTTCACGTATATTATTTAATGTATAATCCCAGTGTTTTATCAGTCCTATAGTTATCTATACGTGTACTTGTTTTCAGTAGGTATTTGACTACATGCATAATTTTTGGATGTTTTTGATGTGACAAGTACAATCGATATACTGTTTGAATGGCATTTAGTAATTGAACACATTGAAATAAACACATCAGTTCTATGGATAACGAACTGTTGTATTTATTTTAAGTACAATCGAATCAAATTGAATGTGGAAATACATGTGATTATATACCAAAACATAAAATATTGACGGACGATGATCATCCAGAATGACCATTAACATAGAGTTTCATTCAAATTGAAAGCCTAAAGTGAAGATATATATTTGTATTTTCATACAAATAATATTGATTATTCTCATATATTAAAAATTACTTATTGCCGTACCTAGTTTTTGCCAATTTCGTTCCCCCAAATCCGTCCCTTCTTTAGGGGTCCTCGAGCCTACTTGACTCCTCTACTCCTTCCCAATGCATCCTTGATCATCTTTCATATATGTATAATAATATATAATACAACAAACATATCTCGCTCTCTCTTTTACAGTTGGTAATAAACTGGGTTTCTGTCCATTTCCAAGAATATTTGGTCAGTGTAAGAATGATTGTACTCAAGACCAGGATTGCTCATTTATGCAGAAATGTTGTGCTTCACCATGTGGTTATTCGTGTCGCATGTCCTTTGCTGGATGAGTTATCTTCTCTTCGTCAATAACAAAAGGCATATCAATATCATAATAAAGTAATTTAACATATATTTTTTGTCTTTCTTTCTAAAGTGTTAGATTTGTAATTGGTAGACAGTTGAGATTTCTATCTAATTTATTGTTATTTTTCCTATTAAATCCGAAAGCAGATAGTCCCAGAATTTGATTATTAAATTGCGACCGTCAATTTTGGATAGTAAGGAGTGTCAAAGGCTATTTTAGATGTTGTTTTACATTTATGGTCTGGGGGGTGGATGGCCAAATGGTTAGCGCGTGCGCGCTGTATCATAAGGCCTGTCATTGAGTCAACTGGTGTGGTTTCGATTCCCCGGTTGTACATGACTAGGAGTAGTGTCGCTTGTCCAACCTCGATGGTTTTCTCCGGGTCCTCCGGTTACCCTCCCCCAACTGCTAAAGACCCCTACGCGCAAGCGAATTATTGAAATAAATTGAACCATATGTTAGCCCCGAAATGACCTAATTTATGTCGAGTAGACGTTAAACCCCATTTCTCTCTCCCCTTTTTATAGTCTTTGCGAGTGACATTGCCTCTTTACACTGAGCTCTTTGATATTATACCATACAACCACAGCCCACAGCTAATTTAATGTTCTATCAAATGTGAGGATAATTTTGCGTATTGTCTTTTTTCTTTGCCCAACCCAGGCGTTTCTTTTAAGTACCACGGGCGTTGACTATGACAAACGGAAATCAAGTTTGAAAATCTTCAGAGAGTATCGTTCCTAATCTTGGTTTAATCTCAACCTAAAATATGAATCTCAGTGTTCATTATTTGCAGTACAAGTGTGAATCTTTGGGGTGTGTTTAACTCAAGTCTGTTACATGATATACGTAGAAAACAATCACATATTATCACACAATGATAAAAGTATGACGTTGCATAGAGTATTAAACTGAAATAAAAAAAAAGTGTCCTAGGTCTTGTAAGTCAATCTTAGAGTGGTTTTCTGCCTTATAAATTCCAACGCCGACATTTCGGTATTAACAACAGTCGAATAAGACGTTATTTTACAGAACTTCCTCAGTAATTAAAAGAGCTCTAAACCTCTAACTCAATATTTGTCATAATATTTGAAATTAAAAACACGAATTAGAATTCAATATTGGTCAATTTCAATCAATATTGATCTTGAAGTGAAAATATAGGGTCCTGATATCCACTATGTAAGACACAATTTACATTTTATAATCAGTACACGAGTCGTGTATTTTATGGTTTCCGGGGCCATTTGTAATGAAGCAAGAAAAACATATCCTACAAGAAAAGTAATGGCTGGTGTTTATTGTTACATTAAAGCAGTGCCAGTGGGAGGTTGGGTGTCCGAATGGTCTAAGGTGTGCGCTTTAGTTGATAAGGTCTTCCATCGAGTCATATGGCGTGATTTCAATTCCCCGCTTGAACGTGGCAATGAGTAGGATCGCCCTGTGGGTTTCCCTCCGAGGAAGCGAATTATTGAAATAAAATTGAACCATCCCGAAATGACCGACTTTATGTCCAGTGGACGTTAAACCCCATTTCTCTCACTATCACATTATAGCAGTCTATCAGATCATTTACGGAACACCCAATACTACCCCAAAAGACTATCGTGTCTTTTTAATGTTAACTGGACTTATTTCAGTATAATGAACATCTATGAATATATGTCATAACACATGCACGACGCAAAATAAAAAATAAAAACACAAAAAATAACGCGTTTAATCAAATAATACGAACAAATAAATCTAAATAATATGAACAAATAAACGAACAAATAAATCTAACTAATACGAACAAATTAAACGAAAACAGTATGTTCATTATCAATAGCTTTCAAAAACATGTTTATGAGTGCAACACACAGGTATTAAAAATATAGGTTATACAGGTGTACCTTGTGGAACGGGAAAAAATGTCAACCGCATTGATAATTTTATTGTCAAATGTATACCCATAAACATACGTCATACCTCCAATCAAAATCTGTCTTTTTCATGATTGGCTAAAACAACACTTTGGTATATTTATGATCATAATAAAAACATAATACAAAATCACTAAGCATAACGACATAAAACAAAATAGCGACACCTGACTATTTCTTTCGCCATGGATTGGTGAATCTAGAGAACGTCGGGGTTCAATGATTCTGGGGCAAACATATAACGGATATCCGTATTCATCCTACTTAAGATTAATCTCTGGGTGATTTGTGTATATAAATGAACTAAATTTGATACAACATTAATATCGAAAATTCGAAGACTTCAAGATGATGAAGATGATGTTTTATCTTACCGTTGTACTTTGCCTTAGTGCTGTGTCTAGTGTACCAACTCGTGAAACGAGCGTATGTTATTTATTTTTTATTTATTTATTTTAATAAAAATCATTTATATCCCAATTATTTTGGTGTTTTTATAGTTACGGTTTGGATATACCTTTTAAAATAGATATTGTGATTACTAACTAGATTAAATTTTCAGCCGTAAAGTTATCGTGGAAAGCTATTGCACTTTTATGCATGTCAACTTCTAATTATATTCTTCTCGTATATAAATGTGTTTTAACAATATTTAACAATTTTATGTTTTGTTTTTTTTACAGAGAGTTATAAAATGGACCCGTGAAATTGAAAATCGTCAAAAAATTGACGAACATGCGGAAATTTTCTCAGGTGAACAGATTCTAATGATGTCAAAAGATAAAGCTTTAAATGCACATAAAATTCAGAGATCAGAGAGCTGGCATGATTATAAAACAGTAAGTTGCATTCTTAATAGCCTCATACATTATTATTTATATCACTTAAATATAATAGTCGTAGCCTTAGATGGCCTAAAATGTTGCAAAGCGTTGGGTTCAAAAATAAATATCAAGACTTAGATTGAAATCCTAAATTTATTTATGCAAACAATAAAAGTATACAAAAATGCAGCAAAATGTTTCTAAGCTGTATATAAACCATATAAGTGACATCGTGTGTTCTAGAAAGTGCAACTGGACTAATGAAGACGGGCATACGCCATACAGTGTGCTATGAGGGAAATTTTGCCCGGATAGCGGCACTATCTCCTACTCTTATATCGAATTCCAACTGCCAAGGGATCTTTTACGTGCATTCCAATGTATACACGGGAACTCGATATTTCGTCTCATCCGAAGGACTAGACAGCTGTACTTGTCTGGCCCACCGTTCTGCACCGCACTGACAAGGGGAAACCACGTCGACATTTCGACGAAGTATAAATCAGAGTAAACTATACATTATAGTGGACCTTTAGTTTGATATGTAAACTGTATCCGTGTAGATTGGGGTTAGGTCACAGCCTGATCATGTGTTATCCCATTTATTTCATTCCAGAAAGAGTTAGCAATCAAAATTATCAACCACGCTGCAGGAAGTAAAACAGTGTGTTTTCTTACCAACGTAAAAAAATCGTATAGAGATACAGTGGCTGATTTAAATGAACGGGAGGGAAAAACAATATCTGCTGTAGGCGAGAGAAATTTGGTTATGGAATCCGGCAAACAAGCTGCGCCAAATTCGGAATATATCAAGACCTTCTGTAAAGACTCCTCAATCTATCAAGTACGGGAAAGTACACTGGGATCAGGTTAGTTACTATTTAAGTTCGATCGGGAGAGAGAGAGAGAGAGAGGGGGAGAGAGAGAGGGGGGAAGGGGGGGGGGGCGACCACTCACCACGCACTATGTCATTTCGGCACTAATATACAATTTTATTTCAATAATTTGCCTGAGTACGCGTCTCACCATTGATGTTTGAATTTAGAAATTAGCTATTTAGGAATAAAGGTTAAATTAAGACATTGCTGGTTTAGCCTGGTTTATTTTTGATTTAATTACGTTTTGGACTGGAAAATATGTTATCAGTTTTCAGAGGTTATCAGTTTCCTTAGGTTTTTGATGTTCCTGGCTTTGCAGTACCATCTGTCCGACATTATTCAAAATTCCAATTTCCGAAATACAGAACCAGTATGCTATGAAAATATATATGAACGGAAAAACCTTCACAATCGATGGCAGTCAGATAGGCGTACGAACCCGGTGAAGTTTAGGGAGGGGGCGTGGGGTGGGGGTGAGCAGAAATTAAATGCCTCAAAAAGTGCCGGTTGCCAGTAATCTCCAAAAGCGCAAAGAGTACCCCCACTAGGGCAGCAGCAATCGCGTTTTCCTGTTATTCCAGGAAAGTAACCCACAAAACGGTATTATTTTGTCTTCCCGACTTTACACTTCTGCACTGATAAATCTGATTTTCCGAAAGTTAGGGTGGGGAGCAGTTTGTACCCCTATTGGTAATCACACCAACCATGTTCATCAACGATCTGTCTATTACTTGTACATCATGTAAAACAAACAAGGGTTGGAGTTAGTTTTAGTTTAGATGGCAGATTGTGAAATGGTTTTACCAGTTTACACGCAGGTTTTAATATAATGTAGATGCTGATCGTAAATATTAATTCGCTTTTTTTTTGTTTGATTTTATTTCAGATGTACCACAAACGCCAGAAGCAAAAGCACCATTTATAATTAGAACTTACTGTTTTTATGGAGGCGTCAATATATTTACACCTTATGATTTATATAAGTTGATTTTTACCATATTTCCTATTTTCTAGAGGTAAAGTAAACATGAATGACGAATCATGAATTAAGTATGTTAATATTGTATTTATTTGTTTGTGTATTTGTGTTCCTTTTTTTTAAATGAGGAACGCCCATTGTTATGTTAAATTCACAATTTGTAAAAATGTATTCTAGCATAATTAAACTTGTCGACATAGTCTAGAAAAGCGTAGAAGTCTTAAGTTATGTAGAATTTGTGATAAAGCCATGGCATCTGTTATACTTAACACAGATGAAATGAAATAAGATTTGACGTCCTACTGTACCACTCCGATTGGGGTAATGAAGACGGACATACGCCATACAGGGTGCTGAAGGGGGGGGGGGATTTTGCCCGGACATCGGCGTTACGGCCTACTCTTAAATCGAATTCCAATTACCAAGGGATCTTTTACGCCAGTGTGTACACGAGACCTTGGGGTTTCGTCCCATCGGAACGACTATACGCTGTCCCTTGCCAGGCTCTCTGTCCTGCACCCTGACAAGGGGGAACCTTGTCGGAAAATCTCGATAATTTTTTTTTGCCAACTCCGGGAGCTAACACGGGACCTCCTGGTTAGCTAAGATTAGAAAAATTATAATATATCCGCCTTTTGAGTAGCCTAACCTACCCAGGCAATTAGTACATTATAATAGAATATATATGACAAATCAAAGTCTTTTCTGATATTGGACTAACTTAAGACCAAGTGGTGATTACAAGCACGATTTGTGATCTCCGACAACATACAGGGAGTTTAGAGAGGTTGGTTAATGAGCAATAATTCAATGCAAAATAAATGCTGGCTCAGAATAAATTGCAATACAGTTTCTCCACTGATTGACTCTGGGCTTTGATTGGGTCCATTTGAATATACTATGTTTCATTGTTTGAACGTTGTTGCTGCTAAATATATCCGTTTAAGAACTTTTTTTGGTGACAAAATCGCCCGATAGCCACATTGGGGCGGGGAGCCTAATGTATGTATAATTTTGTATGGAGCACTGCGCGGATAATCGCATGTGACAAGACAACTCTCATCTGAGAAGGGGACTGTTTCCAAAACAAGACAACTTTCACCCAGGTAAGGAGTTATTAAAACATGATAACCCTCGCCTAGAAGAAGGTACTCTCACATGAGAAGGGAGTTGTTATAAACATGATAACCTTCACCCAAGAAGGGTTTTGTTATAATCAGGATAACCCTCACACGAAAAGGGAGTTGTTATAAACATGACAACCTTTACCAGAGAAGGGAGTTGTTATAATCATGTGTTCCGCGAGATCTTCCTAAGTGTGCCGCGAGATTTTGAACGGCACCTTTATAAAATATGAAAAGAAACCAACACGTGATCCCAATTGAGTATTCACTCAATTCACTGGTATTTACTGATAAGTTCATAGCTGTGTTTTTCTTTATTTATAGTTTGTCAGTCTATGTGTCTATGACTAGTCTATGTCTACGGTTGTATTCCATCTGCATTGCCATGTTTTTATTTTCCAAATTTAAATATTTTTCATATACATTAGCCAGGTGTGAGAACCACTGCATTTGATCTACATGTTGACCAATCTCATTTTTCATGGTAATAAACATATTTTGTTGACCAAATTAGGTAATAAAACCCGTCGGACGCAAGGTATGGGGCATGTCCATTCCATATTTGGAATTTTGTACTGTAATCAGTCTATAACGTAAACACTGACGGGGTATTTTCTTGTCAAGCTTCATGTTTAAATAATTATTGTTCTGTTCTGTGTTACTCCTGGCTCTTAACAGCAACAAAAAGGATAAAAAATCCTTTACCCTTTTGATTCTTTTTGTTACTGTTATTTAATCTATGTAAATGGTTTCACTATGAATTTCATATATATTGACCACAAGTTTACTATATGTCATTGTGCTTGATAACTATAAGAGTATACTTGTCGAAACGTCGTGCTTTTAGAATAAAACTAGGGATTGTATCCCATAAAAACTGTGTTCTATTGATATTGTTTAATTGCTTAGACATAAAACGTATATAAACACTATTGCTGTTCCTGTTATATATTTGATTTGGATATCTTGAGTAAATCCATAAGGTGAAATCCAGTGAAGTTCTAAAAGTACAAACCACTAGACGATCAGGCTAAAAACAAAAGATGTGTAGCCGGGTAGTGCTACTAACCCTCACCTGAGAAGCTAGCTGTTATAAAAATGATAACGGGGATTGTTATAAACATGATAACCCTCATCTGCGAAGCTAGCTGTTAAAACAAAATAACCCTTACCTGAGAATGGAGTTGTTATAATCATGATAACCCATACCTGAGAATCATGACAAACTTGTTCTTTAAAGAATAGTTTGGATGCTGGGGCATTTCCTGAGAATGATCAATACACAGAACTTGTGTAATAATTTATCTATACATTTTCTAGATCTCAGGGTAGGAGTTTATTATTATCATTATATTATTTAGCATTCATGGAAATGTCCATATCATTGCACAACTAGAGCATCGCTAACGCTGCAATATACGTCCACATTCCTGCTTTTATTGATATGGTAGTTTTTAAAATGAAGAGAATGAAATATGAAATAGCTGCAATGACTGTAATATGACAAGAGGCAAAGAAGACTAGGCGTTGGGTTTGTTTTGCCAAATTTAGAGACTAAATATTAACAAAAAAGTGGACGTGACACCGCCTCAGGAGGTCGGGGCATGCACCAAAATAAATAGTTGCTGTATTTACGGTATAAATATGCAAAGTTCCAATATGATCCATTCAGAAATGCAGCCTGTAGATAATAAATACAAAAATTGGGCATGGCTCTGCCCCTGGGGGTTGGAATTGAAACAATATAAATAGGTACCACCCTGTTATTGAAATGATTGATATGCTGAATTTGAACAAAATCTGTTAATTATAGCAACCTGTAGAGCATTCACAGACAAAAAAGTGCACTGAGGGTCAGGACATAAATAGTTGCTATAGTTAAAGGAATAAATGCGCGAAGTTCCAAGCTGATTCATTCTGAATTCCAGCCCATAGACAAAAAAATCAAAAATTGGCATGGCTCTGCCCCTGGGGGTTGGACATGGATTAATATAGGTACAACCCTATCCAAATCGATTAATAATTGCAGCCTATATATAATTTACATACAAAATATTAACAAAAAGTGAGTGTGGCGCCGCCCAAGGGTGGGGGTGGGACAGGGAGTCATGCACCAAAATCAATAGTTGCTGTCCTTAGGGTATAAGGAATAAGTATACCAAGTTCCAAGATAATCCATTCAGAATTGTGTCCTTCAGGCGCTAAACACATAAATTGGGTGTGGCTCTGCTCCTGCGGGTCGGGACATGCACCAAAATCAATAGTTGCCACCCTTAGAATATAAGGAATACATAACCCAAGTTCCAAGCTGATCCATTCAGAATTGTGGCCTGTATATGATAAACACAAAATTTGGGAGTGCCAAGTTCCAAGACGATCCATTAAGAATTGTGGCCTGTAGGCAATACACAGACACACAAACAAAACATGGGTGTGGCTATGTAGCTGGAGTCAGGCATTCAACAAAAAACAATAGGGATCATCCTTATGGTATAAGGAATGGGTATGTAAAGTTTCAAAAGAATCTGTAGGCGAAACACAGACACACACAAAAGTTGGGCATGGCCTTCTTCCAGTGGGTCGGGGCATGCACCAAAAATGATAGAGGTCATCCTTATGGCATAAGGAATGAGTATGAAAAGTTTTCAAGACAATCGATTAAGAATTGCGGCCTGTAGGCGACATACAGACACACAAAAAGAAAATGGGCGTGACTGCCCCTGGGGTTTGGGCATCCACCACAAACAATAGTGATGTTCCTTAGGGCATAGGGCATAAGAAATAAGTATGCAAAGTTTCAAGATTGAGAAATGCAGCCTGTAGCCAACAAACAAACAAATACAAGAAAAGGGTGTGGCTCTGCCCCTGGGGGTGGGGCATGCGCCAAAAACAATAGGGGTCATTCTTAGGGTATGAGGAATAAGTATGTAAAGTTTCAAGATGAACAGTTAAGAATTGTGGCCTGTAGGCGAACCACAGACACACACACACACACACACACACACACAGACAGAGGCGACGGAAATATACGTCACATTATGAATTATGAATGTGGAGTAATGTGGACGTATAAAAAAAATAAATGAAACTTCAACAAATTTATTTCAGGCCATTCATTATATTTAGCATGTTTCACATCCAATTTTACATATAAAATAACTGATTAATAATCAGTATATAACAATTAATATAAGCTATCCATTTTAACAAAATAATAATTATAATACATCTATCTACACCCTAAATACAGCCAAGTTCTAAAGTGAGGATTTCCAAAACTCTAACCCTGTAGAGTGTTTGCAAGGAATTATTGAAGGGGGCAGGGGGGAGTTAGACAGCGAGAGAAAAACTCTATCCTGTAGATTATTTACAATTGTGGAGAGAGGGGTTTGGGAGGTGGAGGATAGAGATATAAAGACAGGACAGAGAGAGGTCATTTTATGAATAATAATTTGCTTGCTCGTAGGGATAGCAGCAGAGGAATACAGAGGAACTGGAGAAAGATCTGATGATAACGCTGCCATTGCGTAAATCTGCCGATTGAAATCACGCCACTGGACTCAAATGAGAGCTTATGATTTAAATTACCCCACTCGACCCTGCCACCCCTTTGTGTAAAGGATGCCATTAACCAAGGCTGTATAAAAATGGAAGCTTGATTTAGATATACATATATTATTATATACACACTAATAATTAGTAATATAATTATTTATATACATAATTGTATATTAACAAAAATGTTTACATATACATGTCTTAACAAAATATATCCCAGTATATAACCACACACTCAAATTCATTATCTTGTACAATCTATTCACAGATTTTAACATTTCGCAAGAAAGGTATAAAAACAAACAGTAACACTTTTTCATTTACATGCCGTGTAGAGATATATGTACATGCACTAAGTTTGATCAAAATGTCTGTACCACCATCTCATTAGTTTACAAACTCTATACTCTTTTAATAATATCAAGAATCCTCATCACACCCAAATTATCCAAATTTTAAATTTTCTTCAAATTTGACCATGCGTACCTATCAGAGCATACTCTTCTAAATTATTCCAGTCAGTCAATTTTTGATATACTGCAATTTTGTTTATGATGAATTAGCATGATATTTTTTTCTGAAGAATGTAACAATTTTTTAGTCTATTCCCAATTTTTTATTTAATTTTATATAGATTTGAAAGTGTTTTTACATGTAGAAACTGATTTAACTGTATCTATTGTATTTTAAGGTTAAATTTCTAATTTTATGGCATTTAATTTGAAGGACGTCAAATTCTCCAGTCATACAACAGGGCCGGCAGAAGCAATTCTTGATTGGGGGCGTCCATTCTAGGTCCTTATAGGCAAGGGTCCAGGGGCCGCAATAACCTGGAGAAAAGAGTATGTGCGGGCCGTTACAATTTATTGCCAGTCAGTCTAAGCAGGTAAATATGACTGTAAAGAAAGCCCTGTTGTCTGCTTTTTTTAAAAATATTAATATGACTAGTTGTTAGACTAGTTATATGTTTGGAAGTCAGTCATTTTTGGAATCTATCATACATTTACAGGAACAAGCTGTCACTGGACACTCTGAATGTTCTCTGCAACAAATATAAGATATTAAATGTACAGTTTAATTTAACATAAGATTATAAACATATCTCACACCAAAAGATCAGCTTATACCCCTAAACAATTAAATCCCTTTGAATTGTATTTTCAAATGGATTAAAGACCCAGTGAGCTAGATCGTTCACATAATATCTCAAAAGTCTAAAATACGAATTACTTTAAGAGTATAGCATGCCCGAAAATAAAAAACCCCATTAAAACTGATTGATTTGAATTATATAGAATCAGTTTTCTAATAAAAGTTCTTTTGAGTCTGTATGATGTTAAAATCTAGGCCTAGATGGGGCTTTAGCAAATGGGGTTTAAAATAGGTCATTTCGGGACTAACATGATAAATTTTATTTCAATAATTGGCTTGCATGTAGGGATCTTTTGCAGTGGGAAGAAATTGGAGGATCCAGAGAAAACACAGCTCAGTATATTCTTACCTGAACCAAGTTGATATGTGAGCAGCGTGACCACCATGACGACATGATTGACACCATGTAAACCAATCAGATATAGGTGTTAATTTACTTTGTAATCCTAAAAAAAATAATAGGCATGGAAAAACATTTTACACAAATGAATAAGTAACCTTATCTTTAAAAAAAAAAAAAAAAGCACAAGCGGATTTAACCAATAAATTAGGTTCAAAATCCAACGAACAAATTCAAAATCTGTAGACATTATTGCTTTGTTAAACTCTTGCTAATTTTGGCTACATAGATGCATGTTTAAATTTCAGTGCATAAGACAGGATATGCTTAGTCTTTCCAGAACACCTGATATCACTCTTGTTACTGTGTATCTCCTGAAACAATGTTGTCTTTGTATTAATGTATTAATATTCAGGCTAATTTCGATGATACTTTTTGTGAATTGTATTCTTTTATGTCCTTGTAACCGACTTCGTCATCCACTTGAATATTTTGAATTTCAGGTGTTGTTCTGTTTTTTTTTTTGGTTGGGCGGTTACTTAGTTCTTCTCTGACTTATTAGAAAATTATCACAAACGTAAAGATGCATCAAGTATTAAAACAAGTAGCCTATGTGTGGCTTTTGTTGACATGATTTCATACTTCGAAAGCTGTTGTTCAATCCCTACATTTCGATCATGCTACGTAAATCAATCAAAGTTAGCTGTATACCTCTGTGTTGCAGATTTCCCATTCCTGATGCTGTTCCTAAATTATTTAAACACACTGAACATCTTGGTAAAGACTTCCGACAATTTGGACAAGTCTGAAATACAACAAATTTAAATATAATGTGTAAGACTTGTATATATATTTATCTAAGGGTTATGTTATTAAAAGTTTATGGTACATATCTTAGCTTTATGGTACATACCTTAGGTTTATGAATAGCATGACTGCTTACTCCAGGTGGTAAACGTGATCGGGGCATCTGCATAGCAGATGTATTGTTGATTGACTTGCCGCAAAAATTACAACGTACATGTACTTGAGGTGCTGGTCTGACAGATAAATCAAATTTATTTCTAATTATATCAAATTTCGCTCTGAAAATAGAATGGCATAAACTGCTGAATTTTATGTCAACTTTTAATTAGTACAGTAGCAACTGTTCCATTTTAAAATGGACATGAATCCAATAGAAATATAAAAATTATGTGGCTATAGAAAAAAAGGATGAGCAATTGCTTATACATATAAAATGACGAAACAATAACAAAACACACATAAATATTACCTGATATTGTAAAATTTCCATTGGTCTAACAAGGCTCTATATCTAGAATACAAAAGAAAATAAATCAAACAAAATCTTTTTACAGTTATCTCATTCACAATTTTTATCATCTCCATGTGTGTATGATCATAATCAGTCATTTCAACAAATTAAATTCAGATAATATGGCGTTCTAACAGTCATTTAGACTGAATTACTTAAATTTAAGTTCATATACTCGTACACAATATTCAGTCATTAGTAATTTAATTAAAACAAAAGACCGTGTAGAGTGATATTATCTATACAGAACTGTCTAGAGAATATGAATGCCACCATCCCTTTATTAAGTGGTAAAGTAAAACAAAATGGCTAAAAAAAATACTTACCCATCAATCCACATAGATACTTTAGATAACTCTGATTTATCTAATGTATTAGGACAACAATAAATAGATATCAAAGCAGCTGTCTGTACATCATCTGAACAATCTACATACCTCCCTAATAAATCTACTCCCTCACTTGTAAAACCTATAATGACAAGAAACATAGACATATACCCCAACAAGCTGCAAAGAGATTCAAGTCAAATCGAAAATCACTGTAAACAAATCTGAAATCACTGTGATTGTTAACAGATCTAAAATGATTGTTAACAGATCTAAAATGATTGTTAAAAAATCTAAATCATTGCTAACAAATTTGAAATCATTGTTAACAAATGTGAAACTATTGTTAACAAATGTGAAACTAGTGTTAACAAATGTGAAACTAGTGTTAACAAATGTGAAACTTTGTTAATAAAACAAAAATCATTGATAAGAAAATCTAAAATCATTGTTAAGAAAATCTAAAATCTAGCTCAGAGCCAATCCAATATAAACTCTGTACATTGAAATTCAATAGAGTTTTTGCTAATGCCCTATTGAATAATCTCACCTAGGTTTTAAAATTCTATAGGGAACTTTTTCCTGTATCGCCTTCAAAAGATTTCATGAATTTGAAAATAAAAGGGGTGTGGAGGGTTTGTAGTAACATCGAATTATTCTTTATGTCAAAAGGGTTACTTCTTATGCCTCTATGAATTTTTCCTGTATTGTGTCCACATGCTTTAATTTAAGAGTCCAAATGGGAATGGCAAGATAATTCAATAGCGTTTATTGGGAGTTAAATATGACTTATGATATAGAGATATCCCTTTTGTCCAAATAAGCATTCCCTGTGAATTTGAAAAAAAAACCCAGTCCAACAAGAACTCTGACCTTCATAGTGTATAGTATTCACAAGAAATTCTGGACAGATGATGGGCAAAGGGCAGATACACATCAGCCAGATCTCATTTTATCTATCAACTAATCAAAAGATATACGGTACACAAATCTCTGAGTGACAGTAGATGCTACTTTGTTCAAGCCAAGAAAATTTCCACATGAGCAATCAACACTTATAATGAAGGTTATGTAACATGTGGTCAATGCATGAAAGGGGAATTTTGCCTCGTGCCCTTTATACATATTCTTTTTCAATTTCATCTAAGTGACACAGGTTTCCACTGTTTTATTACACTCTGGGTCTAAATCTATGCGACTAATCCAAGGACATCAAGTGTATACAATAATAACATACCTGTTAACAGTAAACCATTCAAATCACCAATTACTTTCAGTTTATTGGACAGATCTTCAAAATATTTCTGCACCTGACAAAAGATGTAATATATTGTAATATAATGACCTAATGTAATAGTGCATTAATTGGGAACCTGAACCCAACAACGACATGCTGTGGAGTGGATTATATTATTACTACATGTCAAGATATTTTTACTTTTTTCAGATAAAAAAACCTATTGAATTGATGGAAATACTGTAAAAGTCCCTTTAACTGACCAAACTTTGAGGAGCAATATCAGTTCCAATTCTAAAGTCAATCTTATTTTAGCCATAGCTCCAGTAATTTGCTGTAAGATCAATACTGCATGCAGCAGAACATTGTTTGGATTTTTTATATTTGGGTGGGATGCTTTAAAGATACTTTATGTATGATTTATTTAAAGAGCTGCCATTCTTGCTAAAATAGTTCAAAAATAGATAATGTGAAATGAAAATATTGAAAATTTCATTCAAATTACTTCATTCTGAGCTAAGTTATCACTGTGTGTAGTTTTGACAAGATGTGTGCATAGTGGTAACAAGGGCACTGGTATATTCGAGACTTAGCCTCGCTTTCCCATTTTTAAATTAAATTTATTTTTAAATGGCGAACCATTCTAATCTAGTTAAAATATTGAGTATCCGATGACATCGAGAGTTGATTATGGTTTGGATAAGTTAATTAATGTCTAATTAATAGTTTATATAACATTTCAGGCCTAAAGAAAGACCTGCAATAGGCAGATTTAGCTCTTGCATAATGTATGTTTAGATAAAAGGGTTCATGTAATAAATTGTGGGTGTAGTGTCAGTTGGTGTAAAATGTTTTCTTGTCCAACTGCCTTCCAGGCCATTTAGATAACGGATGATCAAATCCCGACCCCTAAACCTGGATTTTTTAGGTTCACAGTCTAGAAGGCAAAGGGGAGCGGGATACAAATCTTATATTACACACTTTAATACTGGTACACCATTACTTCAAATAGTGTTTATTATGTGATCTTTCTATATAAAACAGCTTCTAGAAAGAGCAAGTATATCCTGCCTTGTACATGGTCCCACTGAAGCTGATTAATAGAGAGTAATTTAATCGTGATCTGTAACTATAAGGTCTCTGGTTCAATCCCAACCTGTTTTATCTTTGTAAGTGCTGCAGGATGGAGGTACTAGTCATATGAATGGACCGGAAAAAAGACAGATTCTGTATACACTGGAATTCAAATAATCGAAACCCTTGGCAGTAGGCAGTTACAGCACTGTCAAGGCAAAAATACCCTCAAATTCTACTGCATGACACATGCCAGTCTTCATTAGCCATGTTGCTGTAGAAAAGTAGATGGTTAAACACCATTTCATTCCGTATACCATTACGTACATACCTTATCATCAGTAAGATATGTACAAGCAAATGCTACTCTATCTTTAACTTCTATTTCTTCATCATTCTAAAAATAATCAATTATATAGTTTTTACCAAACACAAGTATTAAACAGATATTATAACTCCGACAAGTAGATAATAATTATAACTTATTTTGAAAAATATCACATCCAGAATAGCCATAGACTCACTTAATTATGGAGAAATTGTATCTCAGCAACGGCTTGGCAGACACAATCTATTTTGATTATACCCAAACTAACTGCAGCCTAAAGTCGAATGCCATTAAATGAAAATTCACTTTTTACCAACCAGTGAAGACCTGCAAACCACTAATTCCACTGTAATACATTTATTCAACCATCCAAAAGATTGAATGATTGTATTGAAGTATTGAACAATACAGGAAATAAACTAGTTTAAAGCAAACTGCCTTATATTAAGCTCCCCTGTGTATTCGATTTTATTTACTTTCATTTTATTGTTTGGCGAGACAGTTCCTCAGGATTTTCCAACCTGGTTTCCCCTTGTTAGGGCCAGACAAGGAAAACTTTTTAGTCATTCGAATGATATAAAAAACTTGTAACTCAAAACCCTTTACAGTTGGAATTTTATTAAAATTAAATGGAAAAACAGGTGTCCAGTCTAACTTTCAATTATGTATGGAGTATAGCCAATTTCATTAGCCTGGCTGGTACAGAAAAGTAGGACGTTAAACCCCATTTGCTTTCATTTGATCATAACTCACCAATATGTCAGTAAAGTCATTGTTATCATCCACTAAGAAAGCAAAGATAGCACGTAAATAGGGATGTTTTAAATCATGTCTTAATTCATTACAAGTTTTCTTCCATAAAGCACTTCTATCTGTTACTCCAGCTATCGCTATGGCAACAGTTTTTAAAGTAGCACTACCTATAAAAAATAGAAAATATTACAACTTTAAAAATACATTCCCCTGACATCAGACAATAATGCAATATCTAATTTTTCACAGTTCAATTTACCCTAAAATGTAATCATTATTTAACATTTAATTAAAGATACGTTAGTTAAGAGCTAAATCTGCCTATTGCAAGTCTTTCTTTAGGCTTCAGATGTTGTAGAAATTATTAATTAGTCCTGTATTTACATGGCAAGCTCAAAATCAACTCTCTAGACCCTTGGATGGCCTGGATACAGCTTGGATATAAACAGTCATCCATTTAATAATTAAAACAATAAATGACTGACCAAGCTAACGTTTACCATTAGGAATAGCAGTCCAAAATTGATTCAATTCCATTCAGTATTTTCAAAGATATGAGGAATCGAAATTTCATCTATCTATGATGCTCGAGGGTAACAAGACGCTGCCATCTTTTATTGGTGGTGGAGAAACCTGTTGGGCCTAATTTAAATCCGATTGAGTTCATGCCAGGAGATTATCTAGTGATGGTATTTTGATTTCTTAATTAACTGTTAAATAATCAATCTGAGAACATTGTTAGCGAGTATTAAGCTGTGAGAAATTTAATATTATAGCAAAAATGGAAATGGTGCATCAATACTTTAAACCAAAATCGTCATGAAGTCAAGTGGTCAGGCTAAATAATGGCTAAAGTGAAATATTTTGTATGCCTATTTCAATCGACTACTGCTGGATAATTATAAGTGATAGACTCTTGACACCAATAAATAAGTTGAAGGGGATAAGTTGATCTATAATATATAAATCATTCTAAATCATTTTCATCAGAAATATCGTCTTCAGAATCGGTGTCATTGATATAATCCCGAGTCGGGAATCATTCATAAGCATTTCAACCACCATGAGAGTCTTTAACCTTCCTGACATCGCTAAATTACGTTTTTTGTCATAAAATGTTGAACAAAGACATGTTTCTCTCAATGCCCTTGACAAGACAAATTCCTGTCTGATATGCAAGCGTGGCCATATCAATTAAATACGAAACTAAATACTCAAATGCGGCTTATAAAAAATGTTCTTGCTGTGGTCGACTTTAGTCGACCGTGACCACTTTAGCTGTATAACGTTGTGGTGATTATAGTCAACAATGAACGGTTAAGGTTTAAGAAAGTTTTTTATATTATAAAGTCAATAACCCACCATCTTCTTGTGATATACTCAGAAAATCTAAGGCTTTCTTTATCCGTCTACTAAACAGAGCAATGGCAGCAGCTTTAGCACAATTACCACTTCTAAAAGAACTGAAAAAAACAACAAAATACATTGAAAAGGACACAATTCTTTGGAGGGGGGGGGAGATACACCATACAGTGTGATATGAGAGAAATATTACCCAGATCGCGGCACTACTACCTACAAAATATTTAGAAATACTAACTGTCAAGGGATCTATTACGTGCATGCCACTGTGTACATGGGACCTCAGTGTTTCATCCCATATTCACAACTAGATGCTGTTCCTGCCAGTTCCTCCATTCTGCACAACTGACAAGAAGAAACCACTCTGAAAAATCTCGGAGAATTTTCTTGGCCAACACCAGAATCAAGACCCCCGGACCCCCTGGTTAGCGAGTCAGTGTCCTACACACTGAGCTACCGCCATAATTGTGAGACTGTCAGAGAAACAGTAAAAATCTTACTATTCCATATAATTTGTACGAGCTTTAAGGTTGTCATTTCTTCCCCAACCACACAGTTCTAAAGCCTGGGACCTGAAAAATAAATGGTCAGATTGTGATAGCTGGTAGTTTTGGCATTTGTTAAATCAAAGCTAATTATTCCAGAAATTGTTAGAAACCAATTGTTAGAAACCAATAATTACATTACATCAATAAGAAGCTGCAGGCATGTAGGATTGTTTGAAATGAAATGGGGACTTAAAGTTGCTTTACTCCAGAAACCAGGCTAATGAAGACATGAATAAGCCATGTAGCATGCTGTGACTCAATGCGGGAAACATTACTGGGACAGCAGCACTAAAACCTAATCTTTGTTAAATTTCAACTCTCAGGGCATCTTGAAAGTACTGCATGCATATGGTATCTAAACTATATTTTATTATTTTTACTCTTTGGAATTACTAGGCACTTTTCCTTGCCAGATCCTCCTTCCTGCACCACTGACAAAGGTAATACAGACTGGAAAATCCTGTGGGTATTTCATGGGACCACCAGAATCATACCCTGCAGCTCATGGTTAATAAGACAGCCACCATCGGTCTCTTCCAAAATTGAGGGATGATCAAAATGAAAATTAAGATAAGCCTGTCTTCGACTTGCCACAAGTCCTTCTACTTTACCTTTCTTCACTATCATATACTCGGACTGTTAACGTTTGTTCATCTGTATCTTCCCAGCCACATATTTCACAATTACTTCGTAACGGATAATCTGTATTATCAGTCATCTTTAATAATCCTTTAACTCCCTGAAATTCACTTACATTGTTTCTATTCTCAAGACTATTTTTAAGTCGTACAGCTGGGATTAAGTTAAAGAATTCTATTGTTTTTCCTTTGTGTTTGCGTTTTGTTAGGGGTGTCATTAAAAGTCTTATTGATGATTTGGGTAGGAAAGAGTGCTTATCTGGATGGTTTTAATGTCTCGCATTTCCATCCATGAACATCAAGGCCAAGATGGTATCTTCATGTACATTACATTGTTTGCTGTATTCATCTAAATTACTTTCTAAAGAACAACTTTTCAACTATTATTTTAAAATTAAAATAGGCTTGTTAGCATTAGGTCTTCTAGAAAGGGTAAATACGCCCTGCCTCATATAATAATAATAATAATAATAATAATAATCGTTTTGTATGGCGCTGAACATTCAGTCAGTCTGACTGCTCATGAGTTGATATGGGTTAATAAGTTGCATGCAGTTATTAAGAATAAATGTTGTTTAAATAAAAAGATACAGTTTATCCATTCCCATACACCTCGTAGTTCTGGTTCATCAGACACAGTTCGAGCATTCTCTAACACATTTTCGGTCTGAAAATATATAAATCAGCATTTAGTACCATGGTTAAATACAAAGTTGACATATTGTGAGCTGTCATTGTCACAAATATAGCATGAAGACACATGTGATTTGTGACTTTTTTATCCTTTATCACACAAGTGTTTCTAGTGTGATTAATTGAGGCAACTTCAGTGGCGAAAACAGAAAATGTTCTTCATAAAACTCAGTCAAGATAAACATCTAAACCAAGTTGAAAAATTCTACCCCAATTAGAGTTACTGTATGTGTTCAAAATGTTAAAAGTTAAATATGTCAGAGCTGGGTTTATGGGTAAAGAAATTCAAACATTACATGATTTAAAGTATTATATTGTATGAATCATAGAAATGTAATTAATTACAATAAAATTACCCCATGTAATGGACAATTACATTCCAATTACTTTTTCATTACATTTCATTGCAAATATCAGTCTACATGACGGGTCTCAAACTTTAGCATCAAAGAAGTATAAACAAAATATACAATTAGTTTCTAAGAACCTTAACAATCAAGATAAAATAACTTTTTAATTTTATTGTTTTTTAGACATGAAAGTTTAGAATATGTCTATCCAGCAAACTTCTCTTTAAATCAATACTTACAAATTCACCATAGGCTTTCTTGATTCTTCGTCTCATCTTAAATGATATATCGTCTAAATACTCTTCATTAGTAATATTATATTCTACAACTTTTTGACCACTGGCTAATGTTAGTTTAAATAATGCTGACCATTGCTGAAAAAATAGTAACTTTAAATCACAAATCATGAAAAAGGCCATTTATGTTGGGTAATATATTTTGATGGGCCTCATTTTAATCCAATTGAGTCGAAGCAGTGAGATTATTTATCGTTGAAATTTTGGTTTTGGTTCCATGAATACATGTTAAAAATTTAATTTTTTTTCATTTTAGTAAGGATTAAGTAGTCAAAAATTAAATATTGTCTGAATACTGCATGATCGGGATTGATGACTTTAAGACAAATTGTAACCCAGTCTGTCTGGTCCTGGTTCATCTGTCATATATTTTATATCAATCATCAGATTTATTGCACAATCATATCAATTAAGATTTTCTGTTTAATTATACTAAAATTATTTATTATTTACCATAGTCATCTTGTCAAATACTGTTATTTCATTTATAGTATCTGGTGACACAAACGTCAGTAAACGATTTTCTTTTGTTGGATGCCAAGCAAATGATGAAACATATTGTCTCTGCATTTTAGCTGGAAAAATAGATATTACAGATACATCAAATGATTTCAGTTATATTAAAGAAAATGAAAAGATTATATCTGTACAAAGATTATTGTGTTGCTCTAATTATGTGTAGTAATACTTTTCTTCTCCTTGTAAAAACCTTATAACCAATCTTAATTATTATTGAATGCAATATAGTATATTTTTATTTCTAGGGCTATGAGGAGGATAATTTTTTTGTGGACAGTGGTGTTTCTGTCTACTCTTCTTCAACTTTCAAGTGCCAAAATATCTTTTACTACCAATTTTTACACAGGGCCTTGGTTTTCTGTCCCCTTCGAAGGACTAGACACACTTTCAAAGTTAACATAGCCCCACAAGCTCTGATAAAATGAGAACTGATTCTCTGCATATGTCTATATTCAATGTCCTGGGAATTTGTTGAACTATTTCTGAAATGCTTTTAATATTGAGAGGTTTACTTCTTCCACAAAAGTTTGGGGGTCCATCTCTTAAACTCAAAAAAGAATTATATCTTACATTCTATATTTCTTTCTCTAATAACCGGTTCTATATCATCAGACCCTGAAAAAATAACATCATACAGTATTTTAATCTGTTCATTAAAAGTATAAATATTCAATATTCCAAAATGAAGGGAATGAAATGGGGTTTGACATCCTACTTTTCTGCACCAAATGGGCTAATGAAGACAGGCATATGTCATGCAGCTTTAAGGGACAGCAGTGCTACAGCCTACTCTTATTTGAATTCTAACTATCAAGGTGTCTTTTATGTGCATGCACATGTGTACACCGGACCTCAGTTTTTTGTCCCATCTGAACTACTATATGTTGTCCCTTGCCAGGCCCTCTGCTCTGCTCCATAGCGGAAAATCAAAATGAACTTTCTCAGTCAACAGTGGGATCAACCTCAGGACCTCAAGGCTAGTGATTCAATATCTTACTCACTGAGCCACCGCAACTCCCCAATATTCCAGAATAAAGAGCAAACAAAGAGAGAAAGAGAGAAATGGAGTTTAATGTGTAGATAATATTGTAGAATGAGTGTACTTACCTAATACGGAATGTTCTATATCATACATACTAACAACTGGACTGTCTTTACATAATACTGATAACATACCATTTCTATAATAGTTACAGAAAAAATATATAATGTTTATTTAAAGAACAGTTTTTATATACTGTATAATTACACATAATCTGGATTACCTTTTATAGATTTTATCATACGGCTGAACTTTTACCAAATTTATTACGACCTATTCTTATTTTGAATTCAAACTGTCAAGGGTTCTTTTACATGTATGCTAGTTTGTACACAAGACCTCAGTTTTACATCCCATCTGAATGATTAGACACTTTTCTTGCTAGGTCCTCTATACTTCACCACTGACATGGGGTAACCACACCATAAAATACAGAGGAACTTTCTCGGAAGCGAACCAAGACCTTCTGGATAGCGAGCCAACATATTAATTATATGTAAAATGGGAGATGTTAATTGTAGGCTGGTTGGGGAGATTCGTGAATTTCCAGAGTCCACATTGGCCACTTTATATAAATTAGTATATTGGGGAATTCTAATCCTAACCCTTTTAGAAGACTGAATTTGGATCCAATTTACCTATTACCACTCTTAATAGGTAAGGGATAGTATTCCCCAAAACAGTCATTTATATAAAGCAGCCTTTGTGGGCTCCGGGAATTCCAGAACCTCCCCAACTGGTCTACAAGTATATAGCACCTCCCAACATTTTATGTTAAGTCACCTCTTAATACATACCTGGCAGGACACCAGTTTATTTTTAGAACATGTTTATTCTGTTGTAATGTTACAATCTGACTATAGTTAAGGAAATGATTGTTAATTTTATAATTTGATATCACTAGCTTCAAATTTGAATCTGCTTTCTCACTTTTATATTATATTTTCAACTAATAGTCAAGAAATGAAATAATATAATTTATTATTATACAGTCTTTAAAAGTTTATGACTATAACTAGCAACATGTCTTTACATATTATATTTATTTTAAAGGATACAGGTTTATCAAAGTTTCTGAGATCCCATACAGAAATAAATGCCTAAAAATAAAAATAGATACATTTAAGCCAGTCTGTTTCATGTCTCAATTTTTACTGAAAATTATTATTGATATTAAATACCTGCAGAATTAGATAATCTAATCAACAGTTTTCCGATTACAGGTAGGTTCAGTTTATTAATTACAGGTAGATTCAGTTTATTAATTACAGGTATATTCAGTTTACTGATTACATGTAGTTTTAGATAGCCTAATCAACAGTTTACTAATTACACATGGAATTAGATAGTGTAATCAAAAGCAAATACAAACAACATATATATACAATATAAAACAAAATACTCACATCTCCAAATGAAGCTATTCTATCTTCAAACTTTGGATCAATACAAACACCATGTACACTTTTATGTGATGTTAATTTTACAGGTTTAGATCCATCTAAAATATATATGATACATATAACTATCTTTTGTTGTGAACTTAAAATTCTTCGATTTAAATATGGATGAAGATAATTGATGCGTTAATATAAATTTGAATTCTAATTTACAACATTTTATTGTATTTTCTGAATATTCTTTAGATAAATTACCAATTTGTGTTTCAATACAAAAGAACAACAAAAATTTGTTAGCCATGAACTCCTTAAAAATATGGGCTACATGTGTTGTAGAAAAAGACAACACACCCATCACAGCCACTTATAGTTTAAAAAGGTTGAATATCTTGTACCTGGATTCCAGAAGCTGACATTACTGGATTTAACATAATATATGCATCTATTTGGTTAAATTTATAATTTTTTGTATTAAACTGACACTAAATGTATTAACAAGTTATACTCCGTTAATTTTAGAACAACCCCATGGTTTTCAGCTGAGAAATAAGAATCTGAAGGCTGTACATTCAAATTGGGTGTTTATTCACCCTAGGGACGATATCAAAATTTTGGCTCCATTAATGGTTTGGGAATGTTCCTGTCAAGTTTCAACCAGCTCGGGTTGCAAAAGGCTGAAAAATAAGACTTTAAATGAACTGTCCACAAGAGAAGAGAGAAGAATAGAATTCAAGTGGTGACTAGACACTGTTGGGACCCCAATACATTAATTAAAATAACCCTTGTCGTCTATCAAATGCAACCTAGCTGTATTACCATATATTGTTTCTCTTTAAATATCGTTTACTTTTTTCACATAGAAACTTGTGATTTGAGGTAATGAATCGATAGCACACCTCTTTAATTCTTACCTCTTAAATCGTAAATACGCAGTTGTCTATTATTCATGCCCGTTATAAATGTTTTAGGACTTGAATAAAACCAGGAAAAGGAAGAACTGGACTCAGAATAACCTATAATAATAAAATAAACTTCACATACATTTCTTATCAGAGTAAGACAACGTTATGCAGGATTTGGTGCAGAAGGGAGGTAAGGCTGTTTCTTTGATAATAACTATGATATTTAAAAATCCGCCATGAATTTACTAATTTGGCACAAAACAACATTTTCCTGTGATGTCAATCTGTTATCTGTATCTCTAACTAAATGGTGCGTGGTTGTTGATTAAAATGGATGAAATGATAAACAGGCAAATCAGCGCGAGTAGTGCTATAAAATACATGTGTATACAAAATAAGCTTGGAGCTGGAAGATAGTAATGGAAGGAATCACAACTGTGAAAGACGGACAGTCTATCAAAGTAGATAATAAAAGTTACTATTTAATATGTGAAATCTATTACCGGTAATATAATTCAGGTATAGGATAATCCTAACCATGTGTAATATAAATTATGTCTACCTATTTCTTGATATGGTTTGTTAATAATGGATGATTCACTGTAACTTAGTCGTGATGATGATGCCCACATACTCTCTGACATAACACTGCTATTAATATCCCATATAGCTATACAAGAATCATTTCTATGTTTTTCTAAACCTTCAGCCAACTGTAAATAAATCACATTGTGTTCAAATATTTTAGCAAGAGTTAAAATAGAAATCTGATATGCTCCTAAAGCTGCAACATGTATATTGTTTTTATCAACAATCTATATTATACATGCAACAAAATTCTAATATTATAATATAACATATGATAAAATATGTACCGGTACATCTTGTCATTTTAATATTCTGGTTCTCAGATATCACAGTTTCACTCAAAAAGAGCAGCACAGCTTGTTTTTAATTAAAAAACAAAAACATTCTCATTGATCATGTTCATACACCTCTCTCCAGCATCATAATTTTTGGAAGGATTGTCAAAAGTATACTTTTCTTGTTTGGCTTTATTGACAAATTTTGATCCAATTTGTAGCTTATTTCCAAGAGGCAATTTTTTATGCTGATGGGACTGTTAAATCTGTAGTTTACAATATTATTAAACTCAATAAATCACTCGCTTCTACTTCAAAATAAGAATAAAAGTTACCAATGGTTGTACTAATAAAAAAAAACAAGATGGATTTGTAGACCACCAACCACTCATGATGACAAACTTACCAAATGTGTATCTTTAGGGTTCCAAGAAACATAATTACACGATGTTCTTGCATGCTTGGCAGCTGTAAAAATATAACATGCTTAAAATGTAGGTCTATTCATAGTGCTCACACAAACATACAAAGTTGTTCAATGCTATTATACTTTCCATTATTCGGTGGAAATTTAAAATAATGGAATTAGATCTGTTTACTAATATTTACTAACAAATAGATAAAAGAAAGTATTACGATTTGAAAGATTGACAGTATCTAGATAAATGAAAAGGCATCAAACACAATCCAACAAATATCTATCATTTCAAACTGACTCGAATGTATAAATAGCATTTGAATAAATGTATAAATAGCATTTGAATAAGGATTTAGAATCAGCATTCAAATTATGACCACTTACATTACAAGCTTGCAAACTCTATTTTCAAGTTAGCTAATGTTGAAAAGTTTTCATCAGTGTTGAATTTTTTTTTTATATTTTTCAAGGGAAAATTCATGAATAATTTGTTTGTTATAGTTAAAATTTAATGATCATAATTGTTCGTATTTTTTAATCATATAACTTCAATTGATATCATTAGTTTACTAAATTTGACGATTTCTAGAATATTGAAACAAAAGAGGGGAATAATAAAAATGAAGGAGGAATTTTTCAAAATTTTATTATTTCATTCTTGCATTATTTGGATTTAGATTGATGGTTTGATAAAAATATCATAAGTAAAAGGCCAACTTGATTCTGTAAAACAAATCAAGATAATTTCTCTTTCTGTGCTAGTATAATATGTATACCAATAAACTTTTTGATCAACAGATTACATCACTTACCAAATTCTTTTCCTACAAACTCACTGGATGATGTTGTATTCCCAATACTGAAAGAAAAACCATATTTAAATATTATTTTACAACAGAAAATTAATATCAAAGTGAAAGAAAATACAGCACACTGAATTAATATTGTTGCAGATGCTATACATGTCATCTTTGTCTTATAAAAAGTCAAGAATGGATCAATTATCTTAAACTAAGCATGCAATCAAATTACATAAAATCAGATTTTTTAAAAACCTGTTCTATATCACACAAGGAAAGTTTTACCTAGTTAAGACCACATGACCATTAGCTTGACCAACCGCTAATAAATTCTTCTTATCTGTTTTTGGATACCATGATACACACTGAAAACAGATATCAGAGGTGTATTTCCTTGAAAATCAGGATCCTAAATGCTAATAGCTCATTTACATTAAGCAATGCGGAAAAGATTAGTGGCCACATCAGCACTGATTTTACTATTCAAATAATCTAAGACAATACCAGTATTTGAAGGCTCATCTATACATAACTGTAACAAAGAAATGAACTAACAGGGACAGTTACAAAGGGAGGGAAGTGGAGAGCGGGTTATTGTTGTTTCAGAGAAGATCACCCTTCAGACTCATCATTTCTATTATGTCTTTCTTGGAAATCGTTCATTGTTTTGTTTTTCAGTTTCAGTGAAGCCGGTATCATTACAGGCCGGGGACTGTACAACACAGTTGACGCTTATGGCTGGTCCCCCGGATCTTTTAACTTGATTTGTTATATATTTGTTGTTTTCTTCCTGTAATGTTGGTGTGATTAATTTTTCCCACAGGTTTGTCTTATCGGTTTTGTTTGCATGTAGTGCGGTCCTCCAGCACTTACTATTTTAAGCCACATGAATTTGTCAAGGAAAGGTCTTAAATTCTTACTCTAGTTGTCCACCTTTCCATTTTAAAATTCATCTATTACTTTTTAACAATTTTCCCAGTTTACTTTTAAGTAGAATATAATTATACCTTTATAAGAGCTACATCTGTATTAGAAGCTACATGAACAGCATAAGTACTATCAGATATCTGTCGCACTATAATAAACAAAATTTACTATATTAATAACCTACAAGTATTTAATTTATTAACAGACAGCTCATATTTCCACTTTTTATTGAACCTCTTAAATCTTTCGCCAATCAATAAGAATTCACAGAATTGTGGAAAATTCCTTATTTGAGCAATGATGGTGATTTTTTTCAAAATTGGAATCAATTCATCAGAGGGATTGATAATATATTTACTGACTATGCAATAGGCACTACAATGAAAAAGAACTTTTCACTGCCTCTGAATACACCATTTAAAAGCACCTACAAATTGGAGCAACCTGATCTCTGTATCATTCAACCACTGATAAATATATGTTTCTCTTCATTAATGTATGTTTAATATTATTCTGGCCAATAAACTATGTACACTTTACACCCCCAGCCTGCTTCACAACTGCAGACAGCAAACTGAAGATCTTTGTAATGGAACCACATTAAATACATCTCACCTTTATTGTGTTGTTCTAAATGACATTGTGCTATATCATCTTCAACTCGATACAGGGTTATCTCTGAACCATATGTTATAAATTCTGTTGGATCCACAGGTGACCATAATATCTCAGACTTTCCACTAGCCATGATTGATATTATACAACTTCAAACCATTAATAAAGTACTGTAACAAACATCATGAAATCTGAAAAGAAAATTCCATAAATCACTTAATTAAACGCATGAGAAAATACCGTAGGCCTACAACATATGAAATTGTACAAGATATATTGTCAAAACACAACTTCTTTAGCAATTTATTTAATAACACGGTCAGAAAGTTGTCTTTGTGTGACACTATATGCAATTTAAGGCAAGTCAGTAGTGTAATGGAAATGGCATTCATTCACACAGCTGATCTGACTAAAAGTAGGCCTACACATTGTATCACTTGTCTGTCATGCAAGCCAAAAATCCATGCACCATCTTTGTACATGCCCTGGAGTAGGACTAACTAATGTCACCACATAATTAACAACATGTGGGTCAAAGTTTTATTTGCCTGGGATCTCACAGTATCCTCCCACTTTTATAATATATTAACTGTAAGCATAAAACATGAATTGATAATCTCGAATAAATGACTTCTTTAATTAGTTGAAATTAATGTGTTCGATTGACGGGACGACCTTTTCTTAGATTTTCTACTCTAACTCTAGTGAATATTTAATTTGTCCATTTTCTAACTATAATGATCACTAAATTCTGTTTTGTTTGTTTTTTTTCTTTCTGTGACACCCATGGCAAATTGTCGCAAATGTTAGGTGAATATTATATAATTATCAGCAGAAAAGAGTTAGTGAGGCAGTAGCATTGCTGTTATCCTAGAATTTGGGTAAAGATTGCAGAAAAATATATTCACCTCAAAATGTAAACAAAAAACTACGACGAGGAGGCGGATTTTGCAGTTATCTTTCCTTTGACTTTGCAAATTCTGGCTCGGATATCAAACGAAACAGTTCTAATTCATAAATAAAATTTCGATTTCTAGTTTATGATATCGACAATCCAGAAATGTTTTCCTATATATACTGTATTATAAATACTGTCTAAATGTTCAAGATGTAAATTATCTATTATTTAGATTTATTTCCTACGATTTTATAATCAGACACAAAAGTTTGATGTAGCACATCCGGTTCCGGTTCTGGATTGTTTTCATTCGCAACCATCAGAAGGAATATTTTAATTTAGAAATGAAAATTAAAATATTCTAATTTTCTCAGCCATTTGCCAATCTTCAGCATGGAATCCACCCCAAGACAGAGGAAAGAGCTTAACAAGATTGTAACCGATAGTAACCAGGTAATTCAAAAATGCCCCAAAAAAGCAAACCAAATCTCTCGAAATTTTTTTTAAAAAACCCATAAAAAAACAGACGATTTAGTAGTTCAGCTCTGAAGAAAGGTCTCATTTCACTCGCCCTGTACATTCAGAAACTCTTCTATTGTATCCTTGTCGAAACTGAGATCCGCCCCAGTCAATCTTATTGGACAACTTTTTGCTACTAAATCGCATGTCAGTGTCCCCTTGAACGCCTGTACAATATAAATAAACACCTTAGTGAGAATATAAGACCTTGCTTACTTCGCTAGAACCAGTATGAGCGACACAACATGCTGTTAAAAAATACGTCTCCGTCTTCTAACCGACTTGGCAGACTTCATTGAAAGGGTAACGTCCAAATTTATAATGAACTCGGCCATGTAAGATGAAACGAAATTTAGGTAAAGCCTGGGAGAAAAAAATTGAAATCTTTGAAAAGATGAGAATCTTCAGTCATTTATTGATTTGCCTAGCCAAATTATAGTAATTTACAATCAAATTCTTTCATCAAATCCAATTTTTTCCCCCCAGGCTTACCTAGATAGACAATCGCTTTATTATATATTACAATAGATTTAGTCCTACTTTTATAAAAGTGAACTTGTGTAGACTCATGATTCACTCGCTATTATTGAAAGGCCAAATGAGACGTCAGTAAAAATTTCATTTTTTTGCATGACACTTTTTATTTTGTTATTCAGATTAAACAAATTATTTATGTTTTATTTTTCTTAACAGGATGTCAACGATATGCAGTCAAACTTGGCCAAATTACGAGCATTATCAGAAGATGATAAAACTGAGGCAGCAATGCTACGTTCTAGAATTGATGAACAAGGTCAGCTTATCATGGTTTTAAAGCAACGAACAGATGAATCTGTAGTGAAAGCTATGACATTGGATAAAATAAACACTAAACTAACAGATGAACGAGATCGTACTAAGGACATGTTGAATCAAGAAATTAGAAAGTTTAATATTTTGGATAACAGGTTTCATGACTTGGCTTCCAATCACGAGGAAATGATCAAAATCAAGGATGAATACAAAAGAGTTAATGTTGAGCTGCGGAATGAAAATGCAAAATTAAGAGAAGAAAATTCACGTCTTTTTTCTGGTGCCATTTTAGAAAAGGATCAAATAATAGGAGAGTTAGACACAAAGATAAGACAGTTACAAGAACAGTCCAAGTTAATGGAACAAAGAATTAGGTATGATTCCTGATGGTCTGTAATATCTGACCTTTCAGCCTCTAATAATATCTGGGGGGTTGGATGGCCGAATGGTTAGCACGTGCGTGCTGTATCATAAGGCCTGTCATTGAGTCAACTGGCATGGTTTCGAATCCCCGGTTGTACGTGACAAGGAGTAGGGTCGCCTGTCCAACCTCGTGGGTTTTCTCCGGGTCCTCCGGTTTCCTCCCACTGCTTAAGACCCCTATGCGCAAGCGAATTATTGAAATAAAATTAAACCAAAAGTTAGTCCCGAAATGACCTAGTTTGTGTCAAGTGGACGTTAAACCCCATTTCTTCTCTCTCTCTCTCTCTCTCTAATAATATCTGTTACAAAAGTTAGTTAAATCAGTGAGGAGAGGTCAAGTAGGACTAGATTCTAAAATGTGAATCTGTCAAATGAAGTGTGGTGAAAAATGTTAACACTGAATAAAGTACTTCACAAATATTAACTTCGGTAGACTAATAGGTTATCAATATCTTGCGCATCAAGAAAATGTTGGGGAATTGTTTATGGAAACTTATTAAAATAAAGCTTGTTATTTTTTTAAATTTTAGACAACAGCAGTCTGACTTTAGAAATAGAGAAGAGCAGTCTAAGAAAGAATTACAAACTTTACAAGACAAGTATAGAACCGATCTTAAATCACTTCAACAAAAATTACAAGATTCAGAAGAAAGGTTAAAAGGTAAGATACAATGTCATGTATATCACTAATATTACACGTAGTCTTAAAGGAGCAAAATCTCTAATTCAGTATTTTCCATAATATTCAAAATTAAAAACACAAATTAGAATTCAATATTGGTCAATTTCAATATATGTGGAATGTGGAAGTTATTAGCAAAGGCTGATTCACAAACGACAAAACAATAATTTTAAAAAAATGTGTAGAATGGACTAAGCAGGCGTAAACGACTGCTGTTCCATTTGGACTGTTTAAGTATTTTACAGAACATAATTGATTAGAAATTACAAAAATTGAATTCTTTCAAAAATTGAAAATAAATCACTTTACATACATTCATATTACATTAAATTATGATTAATATGTGCTTTTAGAACCATTTTTGTCTATTTCAAGGTTAAAAAAATAGAGCCATACACCCTTTAACAACCTCAAATTCCTTAGCTATAAGTTTATAATTACTTAGTTGCTGATGCATGAATTAGATCAACATTTCTTTCCCAATTGCACAAATTTTACATTCTTTCAATGATACTGGGGTGATTTCGATTTTTGCGGTAGTCAGACAGCGCAATTGGATAGAACATGTAACTAGAATGTCCTGGTTTTGAATCCTGACATTGGATTAGAAGAATCTTAGGGATATTACAAGGCAGTTTCCCACTTGTAACATATAGAAGCTGCAGGCCAGTAAGGAAAGGTTTGCCTAATTATTCGGATTGAACATCATGATGTATAGTGGAATGAATGTAAACGAAGCATGAAAATTAAAATTTGTGTCGTGAAATAATAAACTATATTTAAAAATTTGCTGTCAATTTGGTTTAATGATATGCTCTTACAATTTTCTCCAGGGTTAAATTATAAACTTCAAATGCAGATTGATGGTCGAGAGTCTCAGGCAACAGAATCTTCAACTAAATTAAATCAGATTACTAAACAAAGGGACGAGTTATTAGATTTAGCAATGCAGCGTGGTAAACTGATTCAGGTATTTCATTTATTTGATTTTCGATTCTGTTTTCACATGAATATGCTTTTCACCGATTTGTTTTCATAGAAGGAATTAGTCCACAATTTTTTAAATTGATTTTATGTATAATGTATGTTTCTTTAACACACAACCAAGGCCACACAGTTTGATTACTTTTACACTAAGCTTAGCTTCTTTTCTTTTTTTTTTAGAAATAAACATGGAATGTTCTTTGGTGATTTGAAAAAGTCTTTTTGACTGAAACAATATACTCTGCTAAATCTTTAAGCAGTGCACACCAATGATTATTTCTCACCTGTGACAGAGCCACAGAGGCTCATTTAGTATGACTTTGGCTCATCAATCCTGAGGGACTGGCAATAACAAATTGTCAATATATAGTCATTCAGAAGGTTACAAAAAAAAAAATAATGCCACTCGCAGGGCACAATTTCCCTCATAGCAAACTGCCAGGCATAATATTCCCATCTGGTGCAGAAAAGCCCATTTCATTTATTTTTATTTCTTGCTTGTGACAATATGTTAGACAAAACACTCAGTGTACACCAAACTGATTTTTCATCACACGTATATATCGGGGGTCACAGTGGCTAAGTGGGTAAGACGCTGGCTCACTAGTCTGGGCGTTGGGTGTTTAATCCCTGCATTGGCCGAGAAAGTTCATCCAGATTTTCTGGCGTGGTTCTCCCTTGTCAGTGATGTAGGACGGATGGTCTGACAAAGACAGCTGTCTAGTCATTCGGATGGGATGAAAACAAGGTCCCGTGTACGCATTTGCGTGCACGTAAAAGATCCCTTGACAATTGGGATTTGATGTAAGAGTAGACTGTAGTGCCGGTGTCCAAGCAAACTTTCCCTCATAGCACACTGTATGCCCGTCTTCCTTAGCCCAGTTCGGAGTGGAACAGCAGGACGTTAAACCTCATTTCATTTCATCACACTTCTCAAATGTTTCATCAGCGTCGATAGGCTGTAAACAAGAATACCCGATAGCCTTCATGGTTATATAGTGGCCTCTGTTGGGGCTAAAAGTGGGCATATCCATCAAGGATAATCTGACAAGCTGTATATAGGCAAAAGACAGATGTTATAATCATTGTTGCATGCCGATCTTCACCATTCACACTCAGGCACATAATTATTTGGAAACCAATTTTTGAAAGTCCCATATTTCTACTCACATTTTTATAATTTTATCACATCCCACATTGTTTCTACATGTATTGTATTTATCACTGTTTTGGCATGCCATTTTATTATGCACAGAAAGAACAAACCGAAAATAAACTTCTACAAAAGAAAATAGAGGAAATGGACAAATCTGTTAAAGCTATGGAAGAAAAGTTTGAGTATGTACAAAATATATGTTAATTGATTTATGTACATAATATATGTTTATTGATTTCTGTACAAAATATATGTTAATTGATTTATGTACAAAATATATTTTAACTGATTTCTGTACAAAATATATGTTAATTGATTTAAAAATGCATTATGTAGGAGCTAAATCTGCCTAATGCAGATCTTTCATTTGACCTTAAGTGTTATATAAATCATTAATTAGACATTTATTCACATACCAAGCCCATAATCAACTCTCTAGATAATCAGATGCTCTTGATTTTCAATGAATTTAAACACAATTGGCAGTTAATAATTTAATAAAAAAATGGATAATCAAGACTTTGTTTATTATTGTAACAAGGTTAGCAATGACAATCGAGACTACTCTATTCTTCAAATGGCCATAACTATGCTGAGAAGAGAATGAAATAATTTGACTGAAATTTTCAACATATTCCCTTTTCACTATCTTTTGTTTAACTTTTATAGTGAAAACTGTCAGCTCTTTATTTAAACCTTACATAATGCGTCTTTAAGTTGTATGATTGTATATATTTTATATTATTTATTGATAATCACACTGGACCATTCACTATGTAGGGCCTAATCATGCATGGACTTTTCATATTAACAATGTAATCACACTAGACAAAGGTCATAGACTCTATGACAGTTAGACTAGGCAAAAAGGCATTGACTCTTTTATCCTGAAATGACACTGTGCAACAGAGCATTGATTTTGTAATCACACTGGGAAAACGGGCATTGGCTCTTTGACAAATTAAGAAACACTGGCATTGACTCTGTGATCACACTGGGAAACACTGGCACCTGTGATCAGGTGCATAACAGAGTATTGACTCTGTAATCCCCCTGAGCAGAAGGGTGTCTAATCTAATCACACTTAATTAACACTCAGTATAACTGGACATGTAATCTTTTGCTTTCAGGAGACAAGCCTGTGCTGTTAATGCTAATTTACAAGTAAAGCGATTAAAAGAAGATTTAAATTCAGCTGACAATCGTTACACAGAAATGACAAAGGTAACTAAAAGACTTATAAGGTAGAATTCAAGACTTAGAAGTAGTCTGGAATTGCTATTACGAGCGTAGGCCTATTTATTTGAATTCATCAAATTTATACCAACAACACTGTTAATCTGATACCATTGACTTCTGAACCTAGGCCATTTACTAATGAAGTTTTTGTCATTATTCTCTACCAATGTTTAGTATATAGAGAAAGTGGTTAAAAATTATACAGTAGTCATTAATTAGCAGGTGTTTAACTATCTAGAAAAGTTGTTACTACTTGTGTAGAAGCGTGACTAATTATAATACCCATGATGATTGAATACACAAACCTGGGCCCTGTTTCTCGAAATCGTAACTAAAGATAAAATCCAATTTTAGTAGATTCTTCAATTTTGATTGGCTAAGCACTATAATCAATCTAATAGTATCCAATCAAAGTACTAAAATTTAGATTTTATCTTAGTTAAAATTTCGTAAAACAGGCCCCCGGCTCATAGTGGTTCATCATTCAATAGTCAGTTTGTACACCTTAGTGACATAACACCTACTTAATTAATGACTACAGCCTGATTACTAACAATTTTTACTGACTAATAAACATTATATAACATATATTTTCATTTATAACGTTTTTTTGTTCATTAGTCAATGATATAAACTTTACAATTGAGGGAATTATCTACAGTTTGGATCAATCAAAGAGTAACATGTTTTTTCTAGGGTTATAGTTGTTGGGGGTTTGGTCAAGTTTGGTGTCTTGTGATGCATGTAAGGCACACCATAGCCTGCTATATGTGTAAATACGCAATACTACTTATTCCCAATTACATTAGGTAGACTGGATAATGTATCTTAAGAGGACACAGGGGTTGTTTTGCGATTAATCTGGCACAAAAAAGTTCTCTGATGGTCGTAACCATGTGATTACAAATCAAACCCTCGTGTCCTATTTTTGTGAATCACTATTCTTGCCATAAAACAGACCTATATAATTAATGTAACACAAGTCGGGAGAGGGGTTTATATAGTCTTTGCCTGTTCCCCAACCCCCTCAGTTTTTTAATAATAGTTTATAAAAAATACCCCACAAAATTTCTGTCACATATGACTGTTACAGAGAAATGAACTTTTACAAGGTTTAAGACTCCGGTTATGAAATGTAAGTCCCTGATCTATCGTCTAGGTCAAAATTATGTTTTGTGGCCTATTTATAAAAAAGTGATTCATTTTGGGTTTGTGTTTTCATAGGAATTTGATGCATTCAAGAAGCATTCCAATAATTTGCTACAAAAAGAACGAGAATTGAATCAGAAGTTACGCCATCTGGTGGGATGAAATGTGTGAACAGTTGGGAGTACATATACAACTAGCCTTATCATACAATTATTTTTACATCATCATTATATATATGTGCACATAAAGTGTAATGAGACAATAATATTAACGTTGATGTAACTAAGTTTATTTAACTGTATTCTTAGTGTGATTAAGGCAATCTTTCTGGAGGTAGAAACTTAGTTTGCAGATATTGGGTTACATTTTCAATGTCCAGAGACTTAAAATTGCTCACTAAACAACATGTAGTAATTTCTGATTTTCTTGTCAAAGGTAGCCGCTGCAGCCCCTACCCCATCACTATAAACTCATTGAACAAATTAATATCATATTACTAATAGTAAGTTATGGATAACCCACAACAAATGTTAATCAAATAGAAATCCAAGGGTTATCATTCCAGTCATGTTTACCAGTCTGGACTGATTGACAGTGAAACTGAACAGCATGAGAAATCAATGTACATGCCATGGTATTAGAGTTTCAAAGTACTTAGCTTTAACACACAAAAGATCCAGTGAAATGTATAGTTTGTATGTGTACAAAATGAGGATGATGCTAAAAATTTGTCATATTCTTAGAAAACAAATATCTTGCTATAAATAACACATAAAATTAATATTATGTGGTCATGTAGCATGTGCACAGTATATGTTATGTACTGTGTATATAAATTATCAGTGCTAGTTGATGTCACTCATTTTAATGTAGATATGTTTTCATTTCAATTTTCTATGGTTTCATTTCGATTTTATATGTTTCAACTTTTTCCATGGAAATAAATCCCTTGATTTCACATATTACATCATATACATCTAATTTTAATTGTTTTAAAATAAATTGAATTCTATCACAATTTCAAAAAATAGATCAAGGCATTTTGAAGTACATGTAGATTAAGAGCAAACATATTTATTACAAACAGTTAATTGAAGTGACATTAATGCTTTGGTGGCCTTCATTGATTGATGAAAAAAAAAATGTTGATTTGACATGATTTCAGAATAACAACTACATGGAGAGTGTTCAAATAAGATTGCTTACATTTTTAAAGTGAAATATGTTAACTGTCAAACTAGGAGTCATACACATTTAATTATTTACTGGTATTCGGGGGTGGTTAACAATATATGCTTATATAGATAGTTTATTCTAACTAAGTAGTAGGTCAGTGCTTGAATTTTGAATTATAAAGTGAACCCATGGTTATGTCGATAAACATGTATTATACAAAAATAATTACTAGTAGTAAGTAAAGCCTTTACCAATTTCTATAGATTCACATATACATTGATTTGTAACAAATTTTATTTACGGTTTTAAATATATTGCTCGCCTGTGCATATTAGTACCTATCTTAAATTCCTTGGATTGTGAATAATAATGTATTTTTCTAACTGTAACACTGTGATTAGAAATATTAGATGTGTATATCATGTGTGGTTAAATGATCGAGAGCAAGACATTAAGTAATATATTGATACTGCACATGGCCATTGGTCTGAGTGTTGTTTCAATATATTACGCAATTGTCTTGATTACACAATGTCTTGCTCGAGACAATTAAACAACTATAAATACAATACTATACTGCTTGTGCATTGCAATGAAATTAAGACGCGTGTCCAATATTTCATCTTGTATAAATAATGTATGATTGGCAAGTTGCCAGTACCATTATTTGAAATAATGGTAGCCAACTTCAATGGATGATGTCACATCTGTATTTTAAGTATGTTTAAATTAACAAAACCTGTATGTTTTTTTTTTGAGAAATAAATTGATAAGATCTGTATGTATTTACAAATATTAAATTTAAAAGACCCATGTATATTATTAAATTTAAAAGACCCATGTATAGTATTAAATATATAATACCTGTATGTATTGACAAGTATTATATTTTTAAGACCTGTATGAACTGACAAGTATTAAGTTTAAAAGACATGTATGTATTGACAAGTATTAAGTTTATAAGACCCGTATGTGTTTACAAGTATTAAATTTTAAGACCTGTATGCCAAAATATTAAGTAGCATTAATCATTGTTGGGATGCAAATCTAATCAGCATTATTTAAGATGAATGTGATATTTATTATATTGTTACCATTAACCAATATTGTTTATTATTCCTTTTATTTTTATGATTAAATTTATACATGATTTTCCTAGATGTTTTTGTAAACTATTTTTAACCACAAGCAATAACATCACAAATACTTGAAGAATCTTTTTAAAAAAAAAAAAAAACTTATCAAGGATCTCATGGATACAAATAATAAAGTTACATTAAAATTAGGTCTGTTTGAGTGTGGTGCTTGGTCACAAATGAGGGGTGGGGGTGAGTTGGTGATATTGCTGTTAGCTGAGAAAGTTCTTGGGATTTCAAAGCCTGGTTCAGATGGGATGTAAAACCATGGTCTACTACTCTTGTGCTCATTGTTCATTCCTTGCAAAAGAAACCTTGAATTTTGGAAAAGAGTAGACAGATGTCTGGGAAATATTTCCCTCAGTACACTGGATAGTTGTGCAGAAATGTAGGATATTAAAGCTTCTTTTCAATTGTATTCACAGGCCTTTCAGCATGGAATGTGGGTATGCAAAACTCCTCTCAATGTCAATGATCCATTGGAGTACACAAGATTTTTCAAATTCATCAACACCAATGACTTATGGATGCAATTATGTTGTGATGAAGCTTTTACATTGCCAGATTGAATTGTATCTCTCCAACAAGATTTACATTCAACCATCATTGCATTTCAATAAACATGTATTATATTTCCTGGGAAAATGTAAGAGCAATTTTTAATAGAAATAAGAAGTCAATTACATATATGTATGTACAGAAGTTTATTATTTAAAGATAAAACAGATGGTCTGTTTAATTAAAATATATTAATAACTAATATATTCATATATATATAAACAACAATCAACAATTTCATATATTACTTCTATACCGGTAGATATTACATTCGTCTCCTTAAACCAGTTCTCTTATAAAACACTTCAAAATTCAAACAACTTGCCATGAAATAACTATTGAGACTTGCACCAATATTTGATATACTTCGCTAAATTCCCTTAAACCTTGTTACTAAAAGTAACTAATCCATAACTGACAGGGTGTTACACTTTAAATGTTCAGTCCAATCAGCAAACTTCCACAATACAACTGTATAAAACTATGAATATGATTGGACTACTTGATTTGATGTAAATATTTCACTGTTTTTAAGCAATGCATTATAAATTTCACAATTTAAATGGCTTGGACTACAATGATTCAAGTGTTATATAACATAGTTTCCATGGTCCTTGGAATTCGAAAAAATTACTGTTCAAGGATTGAACTTTTTTTTTGAAACATCAATCAATAGCCATGAATTTCTAAATTTGACATATCTTTAACAGTTTATGGTTCTAAGTAAGTAAATTCTGAATGAAAAACACAATATGGTGGTTATTTAACACCAGAGTATCATTCTTCATAATACAAAGCTTAAAAATAATGACACTAAGAAGTAGTTTGTGTTTGAAATTGTGTAGTTTCTGTCATGAAATTCATTGATGAATATTCAGGAACCATGCATGAACAATTACAAACTAAACAAAAAATTCCCTTATGTTTAACAACTCCAGCTAAGTGCAATATTACATTCTCCTTGAGCCATATTTTGAAATATATAAAATTTAGAATTTACACTGGTATTTTTAACACAATTTTTATTTACTTTTTGGCTTCACCTGTTTCTATAGGTACATAATTGTTTTTTTTCATAGTCTGTATCACAGGGTGGCTAAGCGGGGCATTCGTAAATAGACAACCAATATAAGAATGTGTTCCCCACACATGATGACGAATAACTTTACAGCATCCTAGATCATCAATTTCAAATCCAAACTGACGATATCTTTCATCTGTTTCAAAAAAGCTAGCATTTGTATGAGGTCCCATATACTGAAATAGAACATAGATTGTTTTTATGATTGAAAATACAAGACATCATTCATGTAAATACAAAAGATCATACCTCAAGGTATTTCTAAGTACACCAGAAACAATTTTGCTTACGCTTTCCGTTACCATGATTTACAGTTGCTCAATATATTGTATATTTAGATATATCAACGTCAAGAAATTGTATATAATGATAAGATATGATAAAATGACACAACATAGCTATTTTTGTATTCTTAATAACGATTACGCACAGTTTACCATTTTTATCCAACACTACAACTCTTATAGGAAGCAGTTGTATTGTATCTTTCTATAGATTCAAAATATTGTGCCACAGTATTTCCACTTTCAACTAGTTCTTTTAGAATATTAATATATCTGCACAGGATCTCAATTTTTCATGAACTTTGTTTCATCCAAATGATTAGGCAGACTTTCTTAGCAGGTGTTGCCCCTGACAATTTGGAATCCAGCCTTTTTTAAATTTTTGTTCTTACAAGTTCCCAGTCCCAGAAAAAAGGAAACTGCATATTTTTTTTTACTTTAGATATATAATATTATGCCTATAAATCAAGCTACTGTTGTTTATTTTATTTTCAGTCACAAAACATTTGAAATAAAAAAAAGATCAAACTGTGCTTTATATTCTGAATCTTTTTTTTTTCTTTTCTGGAATTGCTGAAATACATTATAGCTGGACAGGATACATTATAGCTTGACAGGATATGTGTGTATATTTATCAGGAAGAATAAACACTTACTGGTTTACCAGAAGAAGGATCTATAAAATCAGCCCAATAACCTGCCTGTTGTAAAAACGTACATATTTCACACGCTCCTTCCATAAACTACAACAAAATTAATGTAAAAAATTCAGAGCTTGCCATAGTTTTTAAATTGTTCAAGTATTGCCTAGGTTGTTTAAAGTCCCAATACTAGGCAACAATCTTAACCATGTAGAGACCTATATATGTCCACTCTAAAAACTCTCTTGAACAGCACTATGTTGTATTGAATTTAAGTCAAAACATAACTAGTAAACAAGGAGATAACTGTGAGACTTATACTTGAAAAATTCATATTTTTATAAGATTCTCACTCCTAACAAAAGATAGATGTGACAATAATAACAAGGCATTTTTCTTTTCTTATTAGTTTTATCTACCAATTGGATGACCATGCTAACACAATTCCAAAACTGTAAAATATAGTAATCACATTAAATCAAAATTTCTATTTTTCCCAACCAGTGAAGACTGCTAGAGAAAAATGTTCATCTTTTAAGTTTTGTTAAGATAAAACTTACAGTTTCTAATAAAGCTTCTCTTTCTTCCTCTACATCTGGTGACCAACCACTCATATCATTTTCTGTTTTTTGACTTAAAGTTATAACAGTTAATGGGTCATTTAGTATATCCCTGTCTGGAAATAATTCTTGAAAATCTGTTAAAAAAAAAACCCCAACAAGATAGATATATAAATGTACATTAACAAATGCTTGTAGTACATTTATCCAATGTTGACATTGCTTCTATCACATACATGTAATATCACATACATATTAAAAATTGTCAGGTTTAGTGTAAATTACAGAATGCTATCTCTATAAAATACTGAATATGAAAAAAGCACTGCAATGCAATTTTATTTTGGTTTAATGAGATTGCTTGTACTTTAGGTTTTAATGAGATTAATTGAGACATACCTTTACAAGGTGTTTTAGGTTTTAATGAGATTACTTGTGACATACATGTCGCTTTATAAATTGTTTTAGGTTTTGTGACATACCTTTACAAAGAGTTTTAGGACAAACTTGTGCTACACATTCTAACAGGTCTGCTGGAGTAGGTACGACAGTCTCAGGTAGAAAACCATCATCATTTATCTATCAAAAAAATTCACCATATTGTAGTATGTACATATTAGCTTATGTCTATAGCCCCAATCCCTCTATTGCAATATTCAAATATGCCCAGGAACCGCGGGTGCTCAATAACCAAGGGGGCAAGATATCAAGAGTTCGATACCAGTCTGGGCTGAGAAAGTTCCTCAAAATTTTTCAAAGTGGTTCCCCCCAGTCAGTGGTGCAGGATGGAGGGTTGATTGTTCAGGCATAATTGCTGTCATAGTATTCTGCATGGTGTATGCCCGTCTTCATTAAGAGGTTTGGTGCAGAAAAGCAGGACTTTAAACTCAATTCCATTTCAAACATGTCTCATTGAGTACAAGTACCTTAATATCTATGAACCAAACCTAGGATCAATACATGGCAAATGTTATTCACTACATCACCATTAATCAAAACAATTACTCATCATTTACCAATGAAATTAATTGCCATAACCTGTTACTTTGTCATTCTGGACTGAATGGCAACGAAATTGACTGCCTGGAGTTCCTACCTGGCAGCACAATTTACATGCAATGTATTTAGAATTTCAAAGAATTTAACATTAACACCCCATAAATACACTTAAAGTAATGTAATGAGGTCTATTTTAGGCCAACTGGCTTAATACATTACTAAATCTTACAGATGGGTTCCCGCGTACAAACTGGGTGATTTAATGGTATATATGGACTAAAAACATATTCAAACTAATTAATTTGTCATAATTATGCTTCAAATCCTTCTCAAACATTGTAATTGCGAAGGAATGCCCTGCTATTAAATTTCGATCAAACCAGGTCATGTTTACGTCATGTCTTGGAAATCAGAGGAGAATTCATTGCATACATAAGACGATGTTGTCTTTAATCGCTTACTATTTATTACAAAAAAACGAATCCTAATTTAATTCTCGGATTATCCACTACCTGTGTCTTTTTCCGTCATTTTTATCTCAGAAAGTGTTGTACGTCTAACTCTTCATAAAGTTTATCAACTTGTACATCAAGCGCTCAATGTTCGCGTGTGACCTTTGACATCACGCGTGCAGAAATTCTTAATCGTCGGGCTGTTGATTAGGGGAACCGCTACATTTTTGTCCTGTATACGCTCCATGAGTGTTTTTCGGTGAATCCAGTATTTTTCTAGTAATTGGATATCTCTACTTTCCATATATACCAAAATTGCTATACTTTTATTGGAAATAACCACCCGATAAATACTTTTCTGGGAACCCATCTTTAACAGGATATAACCATCGAATCAAATATTATTGAAGATAGTAATTTGTATTTCAATAGGGAACGACCAATACTTTTATGTTTCAATAGAGCACAATTCAAAACATATTCTTAAATACTCTGTATCAAGAAAGCTCCAGATTGAAAGAAAATATTAATAATAATGCACTTTTAACACGCTAAACTCCATACACTAATCATATACTCATAGTGCTACAAAATGTCTAATGATTTTATGGTTTATGTGCTATGACAGTTTTTATGTATCATAATACATGACTTCACTTTAGGCATACACAAGTTGTGTGTAATACATAATAAAGTTTCAAGTGAAAGCTTTGCCTACAATACTTACAACATCAGCATGTGCTAACAACTGTTGGGATATATCTTGATGATGATCAGCTATTGTTGATGGTACCAGTACAGCCTGTGGTATTGGTAGCTCAATCTCTTCTAAAGTTGCTGTATTTAAACCTGAAGAAAGTCCTATTGATCCTGGTAATGGAAATCTACTATCTCTCGGACCAAGCGGTCCAAGATTTTTATCTGGCCATACTGTTTTCCTCCCTAGAAAATATCAAACTTATACATCTGCAGATCCTTTCTGCATCAGCTTCATAGCAGACATGCATGCAACTTCTTATGATTCTAAACGTATGCTGGTATTACAGAACAAGAAGAACTCAGCAGGAATTATTAGTAAGCAAAGTTTAAGAGATTAATTAGAAAACCATATCATACCAGCGGTTGAAAGGCAAGATACGTACACATTTTGCAAGAGATGGATAGAGTACAATCAGGGTATATAATCCAGGAAGTCATGGTCCGATATGTGCAAATAACGAAAAGGAATCGAAATCTCTGGAATATACACATATATTTTAAGTTTCATTAAAATCGGATAAGAATTCTAACCTCTAGAGGATCCACAAACTTGGTATTACATACTTTTACAGATAGTTTCGATCTGATTTTCACAAAATTCGAACTCAAAAGTCATTAGAGAGAGAGAAAAATGGGGTTTAACGTCCACTCGACACAAACTAGGTAATTTTGGGACTAACATATGGTTCAATTTTATTTTCATAATTCGCTTGCAAGCAAGTAGGGGTCTTTAGCAGTGGGAGGAAACCGTAGGACCAGGAGAAAACCCACGAGGTTGGACAGGCGACCCTACTCCTTGTCACATACAACCCGGGAATAGAAACCACACCAGTTGACTCAATGACAGACTTTATGATATAGCGCACACGTGCTAACCATTCAGCCATCCAACGCCCCCCCCCCACCAAAAAAGTCATTAGATTGTAACATTTTTTAAAATCGAATAATCGGCCTTAATCCAGGAAGTTATGATGCGATATGCGTGAATATTGAAAAGAACCAAGTTCTTTGGGATATAAACATAAATTTTAAGTTTCATCAAAATCAGACAAAAATTGTGACCTCTAGTGGGTCCACAAGCTTGGTATTACATACTCTTACACTATTTGCGTTCAAGAAGCTGCCATTTTGTTGAGCAGTTTCAGTTCAATTTTTACAAAATTCAATGTCAATCATCATCAGGAGATATATTTAAAGGATTTTTAAAATCGGATGAAAGTTGTAACCTATAGAGAGGGACCACAAACTAAAATCGCAATTTTTTCGTACAACCAGGGGCCATAATCCAGGTACTTACAGTCCGATATGGACATAAACACATGTTTTAAGTTTCATAAAAATCAGATCAAATTTGTGACCACTAGAAGGTCCACAGCATTGATATTACATACTTGAACACTATTTAAATGTATAGAGTGGACATTTGGTCTGGCAGTTTTTATCCGATGTTCAGGAAATTTGAACTCAATCATCATTATCGTATAACAGAGATATATGTATGAATATTTTTTTTTTTTAAATCTGATAAAAATTGTGACAAATTAGGGGGCCACAAGCTAAAAACAGGATTTTTTGTACAATCAGAGGCCATAATCCAGGAAGTTACGGTCGGATATGCGCAAATATCGAAAGGAACCAACATCTTTGGGTTATAAACATACATTTCAAGTTTCATCTAAATAGGATAAAAATTGTGACCTCTAGAGTGTCCACAAGCTAAAAACATGATTTTTCGTACATAAAGTTTGGATTCGATACATTCCAATATTGAAAGGAACCGACACCTTTTGGAGATAAACCTATATTTCAAGTATCGTCAAAATCGGATAAGAATTGTGACCTGTAGAGTGTCCACAAACAAATTGTGAACGGACACGCGGACGGGAGTGATGACAATATATACATCCACATGAAAAAATGGGCTTATATAAAAAAAAATGTACCCTCTTTGTCCTTTGAAATTACTATTAGAATCTAAACAATAAACTAATGAAAATTAAACCACAGGAAAAAAAAACCCCAAAAAACTATCATCTATTGCCTTTGAATTTTTGGAACTTTAACTGACTTAAAATGGCCACTGACTTAATGTCTCAGTAGAATTTTCTTGATACCCTGTAAACCAACAATGACCTACAGAATCTTATTTGGTCAGGTGCAACTCACCTTCTCCCCACCCCAAAAATATAATAAAGATGCTGACCACCGTTTTCATTTGTCGGACAATATCTAAATTCCTAAAACTCAAACGATAAATATAATTTCCAAATTTTGTAAACTTTAACTTTAACCCCCATCCCATCCTACTTTTTCAGAAATCTTGTATAAGTTTAATGCAGTCAACCAATAGAAATTTGACCATCCTATTATCATTTTTACCCAAAGTCTTCAGATGTATTAAATGGTTATGTCAAATTTATACCTGTTCTTCGTACTCTATAGTACTCTGACAATTTCTGCTCATTGTATGAGGAGAATGCTCGGAAATGTTTGACAGCAACACGGAAATTAGGCAAATAGGCAATCACCCTGCCCTTGCTGCTAAGAATCTGTAAAAAAAAAAGAGAAAGGCCAAGTTTTATAAGTTCATTAAAAAAAGATAAAGACACAATATTCCAAAATAAAAAATAAGTATGAAAGTTATGATCTTAAGCTTCCATTACTCTCTGATATGATGTCATCATTTTCTGTCTTCGAACACAACGCTAGCTAATGAAGAATAAATTGTTTCTCCATAGACATATCCATCGAGATCTAGATGGTACATGTGTCTAACCTACATTGTAGCTTGTATAATTCAATTGTCTAGATTACTACCTAATGTACATGTTTCAGCCCTTATTTCTGATGCATCGAGACTCAAAAATGGTATGATGATTAAAAAAAAAAAACAACAGGGCCTTGTCTTGTTACCCAAAGTTTATGAATTATAAATTTTTTATAGATCTTTAATTAAATATTTCATTGTCTAGTATTTTCAACTTATCAGTACATACCCTCCCAGCCATTCACCAGTAATTTTGGTTTTCACTTCACAAGAAAATCTGAAAAAAAAATTTTATAGTTTAATTTTCTAAACTATGCAGGAATATATAAAGATACATTTTCTTCAATGTTAATATCGTGTAGCAATGACAACAAACATTGATTTACTGTAACCATATTGTATTGAAAACAACTTTCCACAAATGTGTATGCATATGTACATGTAGCTGTAGCATGTCAGCAGAAGTATAATGGTTGGAAAGATAAATGGGAAGCCACAGTGGCTAAGTAGGTGAGAAGCTGGCTCGCTGGCCTGGTGTTCGCTTCCCATATAGCAGGTCGTAGTGCCACTGTCCGGGCAAAATTTTGCTCATAGCACACTGTAAAATGTATGACGTATTCCTCCTCTTTATTAGCCCAGTCAGAGCAGAACAGTAGGACTTTAAACCCCATTTCATTTCAATTAATTGGAAAGATAGATGATTCAAATATCATATGTATGCAGAAAGGTGGCATTACTTCAAGCCATACCGGTTAATGGTACTTATATTATTTCTGAACTGGTCACACTCTTGTATGTTAATAAATTCTGCATTTAGGTCTTAGTTATACTCATGATCAGGATAACTAAAATTTCCATTAACGGTACTGGAACGGTAATAAGCTTAATTTTAATATCTGGAGACAAGGTGAAATATCGGTAGACTTCCTCACCAATTTGGAACTATCACAAATCTGTTGAAGTCATCAAAAATGATGTTGGAGAATTCATACACAATGATTTTGGAGAAGTTGTCCACAATGACTTGTGAAACAAGGACCAACAAAGTGTGATGATGTGGACCACATGAATGAATTCTCTGACATTGTATTACATCACACCAACTTTGCGACACAATTTCTGTCATTAACGATACAAATGACGTGTTAAGAGCAATCAGATATAAAAAGCCAGTAACAGAAACCGATATATCTATCTGAAGATACAAACAAAGTGGAGATGAGATATTTATGTATGACTGAGGAAATCAACCGAGAATCGAGAGTTGTAAGAAAAATTCAGTCTTCCACAGCTTCCATTCCAATGTTGACTTACCATTCAACTACTGGTCTTGGTACCTGTACAATACTTACCAAATATAATCAAAACATACGTAAATAATGCTCTTGTTTTGAAAAGTTCGAGAGAAACTAACGAAAACGTCTTTAATCGCAGAATAAAATCAAAAATATGTAAATAATAATACGCTACCTTGAAATTTGCGACCTTGACCGACAATAATGGTAACAGGAAGTTTAGCTCGCGGTTTTCCAGACACAAAACCGCATTAGTGCTTGAGAGAAAGAAGCCAAAAAATGAAAAGTAGGTGTTCATAAATCCTTCTAAAACGATTGCAATAATTTCAATCAAGTAGTAAACTATATTATGTTTAGATGCACGTATGCTATGGTAGGTATAACAACAAATGATTTTTGTATCCAATTGCCGTAATAGGTGCATAGTTCGAAACAGTTCATAACCGCGAAATCTAGATGAGTGTCTGGATGTTCGAAGCTACAAAGATAACTCTTACAGACTGAACAAAAAATGTCGACTGCTAGTACAAAAACCTTCTCAACATGTCTCCGACTTTTGTCAGTTGTTGGTCACCTTGGGAAAAAAAACGATGTTATTCTTTGTGGTGACCCTAAAAAAGCCGATCAGCATGTTATTTATTTTGGCGGAGATGTACAGGTCTTGTAGATCAGCTTAAATATGAAAATGAGGGGGGTGGGGGAGAGGGCATTGATATATTTTTTTGAATTATTAAGGCGAACAATTTTAAGTAAATTCTTAACTTAAGTCCGAGAGTGCTTTGCGAACTCTGGACCTGGTTTTTTTTTTGCTGTAATTTCTGATCAGTTATGTTCTGGGAAATAAAATATGCCAGAAGTCTTAATCAAATGGCAATCTCTAGTCTAGCATCCGGTTATTCCAGTCTACACCGGGTTATTCCAGTCTACACCGATATTATTTATTTGACATGACTTGTGGAATATGTCTAGCCTCGTCCTTCGGGTCCCTTGTTACAAATGGCGCTGAAACACATTATGGTACACGATTCGTGTAGGCCTACCAATGGTAAAATGTTTATTTTGTCTTAAATATTGCCTATAATATCAACCCCATCTTTTCCCTGTAAGATCACAACATCAATGTTGATTTTAAATGACAAATAATTTGTGCTTTTAATGTCGAAGATTTTGCATGATATGGAGTTAGAGACTTACATGTAGCTACTTTAAAATATTTCTAATGCAATTTTTTCTAAAATATTTATTTTCTATTTCAGGATTACAAGGAAAATATGGAGAGCCATAGGGACAATAAACGCTACCTTATGTGGAACCTTGAAGACACTGCAAGTTTAATATCAAAGAAGTTTCCTAGTTCTGCCATTTTTGTAATTAGACCATCAAGAATGCACCTGAAAACATTTAGTGTATACCAAAACTTTGTAACATCAAATGATTTTGGTTGCCCAACTCATTCATCTGATGAAGAGGCTTTAGAACATTTATGTGAATTGTATAAAAATGCAGTCTCAGCCTCTATATCTAATAATAGCTGTGAATTAAATGCCGGAGAATCCAAGCCATTAGTTTTGATGGGTTTCAGTAAAGGTTGCATAGTTTTAAATCAAATTTTGTATGAACTGGAAAAAATTAACAATGGTGATATCCAGGATTTAAAAGAATTTGTGAAAAGTGTAAAAGATTTTTATTGGCTTGATGGGGGCCATAGTGGGGGAAAAAACACTTGGGTGACTGATAGTTCAGCTTTACAAGCTCTTGCTCAGTTAGATACGAAAATCCATGTTCATGTGACTCCTTATCAGATCAAAGATGAAATGAGGTCGTGGATTGGCAAGGAAGAAAAACAATTTATCAAAACCCTGAAAAAATATGGGGCAAATGTCACAAGGAATTTTCACTTTGAATCTGAAGAAAGATGCATAGAAAATCACTTTAAAGTTTTGGAAGCTTTTGAATAATAAATTTTGTAATGCTCTCTTATATATTTATATACCTTATCAGCCATAATGAAATATTTACATTTTGTTATAATAAAAATAAAACCACACACAAATATATTTTAATTATTAAAATTATTTTTATAGTTTCAGAAACCCCCAACAAATTGTGGCCTGTCGGTTTACAGCTCACAGAGAATTTAGTATTATCCTGGGAAGTGTACATGTTAAAACTGGGAGGGAGCCACGGTGGCTGAATGTGTAAGACGCTGGCTCGCTAGCCGACGGTTGTGGGTTCGCTCCCGGTTGGTTTACAGCTCACAGAGAATTTAGTATTATCCTGGGAAGTATACATGTTAAAACTGTGAGGGAGCCACGGTGGCTAAGTGGGTAAGACGGTGGCTAAGTGGGTAAGACGCTGGCTCGCTAGTCTGGAGGTTGCGGGTTCACTCCCAGTGTTGGCTGAGAAAGTTCATCGAGATTTTCCAGAGTGGTTTCCCCTTGTCAGTGGTGCAGGCTGGAGGGCCTAACAAGGATAGCTGTCTAGTCGTTCGGATGATATGAAAAACCGAGGTCCCGTACATGCAGTACACATTGAAGTGCACGTAAAAGATCCCTTGGTAGTTGGATATGAAAAACCGAGGTCCCGTACATGTAGTACACATTGAAGTGCACGTAAAAGATCCCTTGGTAGTTGGAAATAGAAAAAATAAGAGTAGGCCAAAGTGCTACTGTCCAGACAAAATTAGCCATGGTGGCTCCCTTAATGAATTAAGTGAATAGAAGACATGTCTTTAAATGGCATTTAAAATATACGACTTCTTTATCAGCACATGACATTTCTTCGCTATGTTGTGTATTTTCAGGTAGTTGTAATTTTTACAGCAGAATAAAAAAAATACACGGGGAATAACGGATTCCCGATCACCAAGACGCATTATCCCTATTTTTTGGCGTTGGCCATTCGCCGTTTTCGGAGGATCACAGACACCGTTCATCTCATTTCACTAAAACTGTGAGGTTCAATTCACTTGATCTATTACTGCAAGTATTGAATTATCGCTTACCCTTACTTGTCTTGGTTATAAACAATGTCTACGGGTTTCAAACAGCAGAATACGTGCCTTTTAGCAAGATTTAGCCGCGCTTTCCCTAATGCAAAAGTAATGGGGCTGTTTTCATATAGGCGTTTCCGCTAGCAAGAAAACGCACGTGAAAATTATATAAGAAAGCTTGCTCAATAGCAGATTGAACGTAAACAATGTACACAGAAATCCTCTCGCCGTCATTTACGTGGGATTCCCCAAACTTTTCAGTACCGGACACATGGAAATACAAATAATCGTGCGCGGAATCAGCGTTTTCCCGCTGATAAAAAAAGCTTTCTTGGAAAGCGAGCCTTAGATTTGAATTTTCAAACTACGCCAAGCCGTTATGGGCGGATCTACTATTTAACTAATGAAGCTTAAGGACAGCTTTAATCACATAATTGGAAGCGACTTTTGTTCACATTTTTTAGACCCCTCTATAGTGACGGGGCCATAAACTACATGATATATCGGGAACCTAATTTAGGACTGAGTATATCGCTAATGTACTATAAAACATTATACTGACAGTGGTATTTACGTGTTTTATTTCATCATTCTATGATTCATAATGCAGGTATATTACATTTCCCCACGTGAGATAAACCAAAACGGCTATTTTAACCAAAACCGGAGATGTGATTAAGTTTTTAACATATTTGTGTTGATCTGCTTGTCATGCAGAAATCCCATTGAAGAATATAAAAAAAAGCGTTGGCGCCAGACCACGTTGCTGTTTGCCAAGGGTCCCCATCACAGTTCAAGTTGCAGGACTCCTAAATTGTTGGTCTGTCACTAGTGGTATTATTAGCCGTAATTAATCATGTGTTTTGTTAAAGTCGTATTCCTGTAACAATATACCACCATTGCCCTGATCATTTATTTCACAGAAATGCGTGCCGATAACTAGGCGTGGAATCGAATCTAGATATGCGATTGTTGACTTGAACTCTGCTTTATCGACTTTGGTTTAACATCGTTCACAATTGCTGTTTAACAGTGCCGGACTGGTGGGCCAAAGGCCCACCTGTCAGGTCATTGACCAAGGCCTACACAATAAGTACCAAGGCGCGAGCGTCCGAGGGGGATCTGGGTGGTTTCTCCCCACATGAAAATTTTGAAAATTGACAACCGCAAACCCATTTTCCAAGCATTTCAGACCAAAGCAGAAGAAGGCAAATTTTTGATTTCCTGATACAATTAGATAACAGAATGACCTAAGAGCACTGTAATTAGATGAATTTGAGAATTCTAGTATACTTCTTTTTTTGTGTTGTCAGTCATTTTTGTTCCTATCTTTTCTTTATCCTGTCCTGTGTCTTGTCCTCTCCTTCCTTCTTTCTTTTCTCCCCCCCCTCTCCTTTCTTTCTCTTTTCTTTTTTCTTTCTCTTTTTTCTTTTTTCGATTTGTTCAGAAATTATTGGAATAGTAACAAGATTGACCCTGTCCACTGTTCTGTGTCTTTTTACTGTATCATTTCTAATAGTAATAGTTGGATTTAAAACATTAATCTTTTTAACCCACTGCTTTCCACTCCTCAAGTAGGGTGTTGCACATGACTAGTGCACCGTAATTATAAATGTCCGTATCAATTTTGATAAAAACACCGCATGATAAAATTTACTGATAATATTTGCAGATAAACGAAAGTTGTTTCACTACATTAGGCTGGGTGTGTTTAATCAGTCCTAATAGTATAAAATTAACTTATTTTTAATATGTTACTTGCATTAATAAAGAAATTAAGTTCGCCAGGTGAAACCAAAGGCACCCAATCGTAGCTAAAAAAAACCCCAAACACATCACAGTATATCTGAACGTTTTTAGCTAAATTCCAAAATGACCTAGCCAGTGTGGAGTGGGCGTAAAGGGACCAAAGCTAACTTGTTTTATCCTTTCCACTAGATCATCAAGTATTCCTCGGTTGCCAATATTCCTCTAAATTATTAGTGTTTGTTTATCGACTATTTTAAAGTGTTTGATAGTTTGTTTGATAACAAGAAGGAAATCTAATCTATCATTTATATGTAAGACGTCAAGAGTAGCCTCCGCGTGTCTGTTTCGCCCACGTTTTAACGTGATTTAGTGTCAGTTTTGTATCTAATAGAATTTTGAGTGGGTATTCGATTAATAATTGGATCAGTCTAGAATCAAATTTAAGCACGTCTATCAGAATTTGACGTAAACAAAAAGCAAAACTGTATTTTACAGATTTATTTAAATTATTAAAGTCTTACTTCTTTTTTGACACTCTTAGCCAGGTCGGTGTAGAAAGGTAGGATGTTAAACTTCATTTTGATAGCGTAAAACACGGCAGAATCTAAGGTGTTGATTGCTTACCTGTCTGTGTTTTCGTACTTGGCTGTATATGTAAATAATCTTTTGGGAGTAAGAATTTGCGGAAGAGTAGGAAAGACACACCGCTGTTCGTCCCAAATCCGCCCCTCCCTACCTTGAATGTACACTTAATCATGGAAATACAATTACTGTACTTAAATATTCTAAAAAAACCACACGTATAAGTGCCGTACTAAACGTTAAAGGGACTGTCCCGATTTGAACAGAGTCTCAAAAATAAAAGTCTGAGTACGTATGAAATCTAAGCGCCAAAATATAGAGGAGAAGTGTATTTACCTTGTCTCAAAATTTCAGCTCAAAATATTGAGTCATTTCGGCGCGAACGTAAAAACTGCTTACCCGGACACGTAATCCTTTTAAGATTTCGGATCAATTTTTTCGTTGGATGACCTGATAATCGATTCCCATTCCGTCAGAGGTCTATACAATGAATGACCCATGTGCTGTACTTGATAACGAAAGGTAAATTTCACCTCCACATTATTTTTATAAAATAAAAGTCTGGTTTTATCCAGACACCGCATAATACAGCTTGGGACACCGGTCTCCATATCCAGATGAAGACTGGCGGGTTTAAGTTGTTTGAATTTGAAAATTTATCTCATATGTTGAGAGTTGCTCGGCCCTAAGGTAGGGGATTTTAAGGGATTTTAACACAAAATTAAGCAGATTTATTCTCCAAAATATTATCGGGATTAGCCCTTTAAACCGTTTATGTCCAGCCAAGTAACTTCCAATCTTCATTATCAACTGTTTATTCTCAGACGAACATCTGCATTATTAATATTTCGATTTAAAACGTTTTGCCCGGACTTAAGATAACAATGTATTTGTTCAATTTATACCCCTTACATGTATAACTTTGCTAAGCCATAATTACGTGGGGTTTTTTTTTCGCCTACTAAATATTTGATATAATTGCCAAAATTGCACAAATCTCTACCCTGTTCGAAGATAACGAACTGATGGAATAGTAACCCACAGAGCAAGACTAGTAGTGTAATATAAATGAAAATTAATACTAACACAAGACAGAGTGTGTGCAAATTTAAAACCGAATAATATAATGGGGTTGTTTCCCCTTAATAGAGTATTTGTCCATTACATTTTTTTCAGATTTATGTTAATACATAAAATGAAATGGTGTTTCACGTCCGACTTTTCTGCGCCGATTAGGCTAATGAAGACAAATTTTGCCCGGACAGCGGCGCTAACAGCCTACTCATATTTCGAATTTCATCTGTAAAAGGTTCTTTTACGTGCAAGTCAATATTTACACGAACCCTCGATTTGCCGTCCCATCCGAACGACTATACACGTTGTCCCATACCAAACCCTCGGCCCTACACTGACAAGAAGAAACCACACCCTACGTTAATATATAGTGTATCTAGAAAGAATGAACTCATTTTAGCTTTAGTTGTACGAATTGCCAAATCTACTAAAATGTGTATACATGCGGTATAACATAACAGTACATGTATTTTATTACATGGTGATACTCGTTTTATTATGTAAATGTAAAATTGAGAGAGAGAGAAATGGGGTTTAACGTCCACTCGACACAAACTAGGTCATTTCGGGACTAACACATGGTCCAACTTGATTTCAATAATTCGCTTGCGCGTAGTGGTCTTTTAGCAGTTGGAGGAAACCGGA